TCACTGGCTGAGCGAGGTGCGGGCGCAACACCGAGGGTTGCAATCCCGTTACCGGTCAGTAAAAAAAGACAAAAAGAAAAAAAAAAAAACTGTTTCTTCTGGAATGAATTACCATTAAAATTATTAATGTTATGTTGATAAAAGGAACATAAATATAATTTTGTATCTACATAAATAAATTTTTCTTAAATTGCATCTCGAGCTGGACAGTGTTGGTTTTTATCATTAGCATGTATCTATAGATGAATGTATATGATTTACTGTTAACGTGATAGAATTCAGCATCAATTTTAATGGAAACGGAGTTTTGTTATAGCAGTGTTGCTCATCTTTGAACCCCTGCCAAGCTATGTGCCCCAAATCACATTGTTCTAATATCAAAAATTATTTTTTGTTCCTTTATTTTTGTTCAAACAATTGAAAATCACCAACTTGCAAAAGTATGCAATCTAGTCATATTAAAGAAATTTCTCAATTTATGGTAAGTTGCCCCAAAAAAGGCTTTACCAAGACTTATCAAATGATAAATATACTTGTTATTCTTTCACTTAGGTGTTCAGTTTAACCCAGATACTCAAAATGGTTGGTTACATCTAAATGTTGCTTATTTCAGGGCCCCCGCCTGTGGCTCACTCGGGAGAGCGAGCGTTGTGTTGATAACACCAGGGCCACGGGTTCCTATGTACGGATGGCCGGTTAGCTCATTTGGGAGAGAGTGGTGCTGACACCACCAGCTCAAGGGTTAAGATCCCCTTACTAGTCATCTTTTAAAAATAAATAAATATTGCTTATTTCTTTATACCTTTACTAATACAGTATTTTTTGGCAAAAGAATTTTGGTTTATTGTATAGTTCAAATCCATTTTCATCAAAAACTTGGAACTGCACTTTTGGCTCATTTAATTTATGGAAAATGTCCGTTAAGTTAATGGCACATCCTAGAGATGATTATTGAGACTGGCTGAAAATAATTACATTTATTTATATTAGGGGGTGGACAGTTTTATCTTTCTAAATTCAAGATACCTAGCAGAGAGAACTAGAGACCACCCCCTCCCGCAAGACCAGGCTTCCTTAACTAAGGACAATAAAGCAATGAGAGATTGGAAACTCTTCACCCTTCTGGTTATTTAAGGATTCACCTCCGTTTGGTAGGATTTTCTGCACGCCAGTCACTGCATCAAGAGGAAGACGGGATAAAGAGCCCTTCTACAGAGTAGGAGAAGAAAAGAGTGCCCGTGAAACTGGAGGATCTGGCAGTTGAATTCCTTCAGACATCTAGGTGTGCCTAGCCCTTGGGTTCCAGTCGTTTTTTGATTTTGGGGGTTTTTTTTTTTGGAAAAAGAATTTTTATTTAATTTCTTGATGCCAGCTTCCTGGGTTTGAGGGAACATTTGATAAGCACTTGTCACAGATATCCGATATTGATTGTAGACAGAATTTTTTTACTCTCAAAGCTACAAGATATTATTAATAGAGTTGAAACGGAAATGTAGCTGTTATTTGATTCTAACCGTTTTACTTCCCCAAAAAGGTGTGTGTAAAACAGAATTATCCACTAGTAGTGGAGAAAAGGCTGGCAACAGTAATTTGAGTCTGGAACTGAGGGGAAGGACCTACCCGGGAGGCACAGTCGGACAAAAGCAGACTCAGGAAGCCGTCCTGGCAGCGTGGGGATCCGCACCCGACCCGGGCAGAGAGCGCAAAATGGCGCCCACGAGCTCCGTGGGCGTGTCCTCGGGTTAAGCTCGTCCAATAGGAATGCTTGGGGGAGGAACACTTCCTCAAACGTCCTTTAACTTGGGGAGGGCTTCCTGGAGTTTATCCCCTTCCATTGGTCGAAAGTGGAATAGCGGATTGTGGGAGAGACCAATCGTGGTGATCCTTGGTAGAGCTGTCGCCCTAGCAACGCGCGGAGCTGCCTGGGAGCGCTCTCTGGAGCGGGAGGCCGACTGGCTCTCTTCTGACACAAGGCCCAGGCCGTCCAGGTGGGGCTGTGGCCTCCAGGGATCAGGGACTGGCTGCCTGCGAATCCCAGTTATCCGTCCGCCAGCACGTCTGCGCTCTGAACGGACCGCCTGGCCCCCTGCCTGGCCCGTCTACCGTCCAGTGCCCGGCCTCCACCCTTCTCCACCCCGGACCACATAGTCCACTAACGAAGCTGACCCTGCTTCTGTCCCACAGCTTCCAAGTGCCAGATGATGGAGGAGCGTGCCAACCTGATGCACATGATGAAACTCAGCATCAGGGTCTTGCTCCAGTCTGCCTTGAGCCTGGGCCGCAGCCTGGATGCGGACCATGCCCCCTTGCAGCAGTTCTTTGTGGTGATGGAACACTGCCTCAAACATGGGCTGAAAGGTGAGCCTGAGGGGGCGTTCGGGAGCCGGGAAATTTGGGCTCAGTGCCAAATATTCTGGGTGCTGGGGTGACAGCAGTGTACAGGACAATGCCCCTAACCCTCAAGTAGCGACATTCTGTTGGTTAGAGCACATTCTTATAACACCAAGGTCACGGGTTGGAATCCCCATACCAACCAGCCGCCCCCCGCGCACCCCCTGCAAGAAAAACAATATTCTACAACAGCGCTGTCCAGTAGAAGTATCATTCTAGCAGCCACGTTTCAAAAGAAAAAAAAAAAAAACAGGTGAAATTAATTTTAATTATATATTTTGTTGAACCCAGTATATCCAAAATATTATCATTTTGACACATAATCGGTATTTAAAGGCCTTATTAATGTGATAGTTTACATTCTTTTTTATACTAAGGCTTAAAAATCTATTGTGTTTTACACTTACAGCACATCTCAATTCCGTTCCTCAGTTGCACTAGCTCAGTAACATGTTGCTAGTAACTGCCTTGAACAGCACACTTCTAGAAGACAAAACAGACAGTAAACACGGAAACAAACAATTACAAATCGCCATAAATGCAAGGAAACAAAATGGGTTAAATTACAATGAATCAAGGAAGAAACTTTTCAGCTAGGGTTAGAGGGGAAGGTTTTTCTGGGAAGGTGAAATGTGAGCTGAGACCTAAAGGAGAAGGAGGAGCCAGCTGTGTAGAGATTTGGGGCAAAAGCATTCCTAGCAAAAAAACAAAAAATATTTGTGTATTTGGATGATTTTAAACAAAGGAGAAACATGACCTAACTTGCATTTTTAAGAAAGCTTTCAGCTAGCCGATCATAAGGATGGGAAGGTGACAATATTAGGAGCAGGGAGATCAAGTTATTACAGCAGGTCAAGTGAGAGATGGTGGTGGTGATTTGAAGAGATCAAGCATTGATTTTGACATCAGGAGGGAAAAGGGGGAAGGATTTCACAGATGGTCATATGGGGCACCTATTTTTTTCCATGAGCAATAAATACTTGGAGAAAGACCATAGTAGATATATCAGTGAAACCCTGTCACCAGAGGAAGGGAGAATTAATTTGTTACTTGGCCTCTCCCAGTCCCCAGGACTAAATCAGAAGGATTAAGCAGCAGAGTTCTGTAGCTTTCGCTAGGTATTTGAGAAAGAGACTGTGGGCCCCTGAAAAATTTTGCAACTGTTCTTAACAATAACGCTTTTGTTTTCCCTTTTAGTTAAGAAGAGTTTTATTGGCCAAAATAAATCTTTCTTTGGTCCTTTGGAGCTGGTGGAGAGACTTTGTCCAGAAGCATCAGATATAGCTACTAGTGTCAGAAATCTGCCAGAATTAAAGTGAGTGAGAAGTAGTTACACCAATTTGATGTTTTTTAAAAACTCCTTTGTATCTAACCATTTCTCAATTCCTTGCTGATAAAACTTTTTCTAATTTGGAGCAAATTGCAGCATGAACCACACTCTACTTAGACTTTAGTCCCAGCTCTGCTGCTCATTATCCACATGATCTTGAGCAAGATTTACCCCCCCTCTGAGCCTCAGTTTCCTTTTCTTTACAATGGGGACAGTGATTCCTGCTTTTCCACACAGGTCATATAGGTTGAAAAGGCATTGTCATCCAAAAAGCGGGAAAAAAAGGAGTCATTGTTATACTCCTGGAATCACTGCTTTGGATACATCTGGGCAGTTTTCTTTTAATAATACAGTTTGGGCAGATTTTAGATTCCAGGACAAGGGGCATTTGTGAATAGGCCTGGACTAATAAATTATTTGCCATGTCTGGATTTGTCCTTGGGACCCCTATGTATAAGCCCCAAATCAAAAACTGGACAGCACAAATAAGGCATCATTGTGAAATCACATTTAGGAGGGGACTTAGGGGTCCTTGAGCCAATAAAAAAGAACCCTCTGCAGAGTCTCCCACAAGGGACTTGACTGTTCAGCCTTTGTTTGACCCTTCTCCTACACAACCAGCCTGTTCCATTTTTAGATCATAACAGCCACCACTCCAAGGGCCTGCTATATGCCAGGCATTGTGCTGAGGATATTTCTTTTCATTATCTCAATCAATACTCCACAAAAATCCTCTAGGGTAGCTGTTGGTATCCTCATTTACAAGTGTGGAAACTGAGATTTAGAGTGGTTAAGTTACTTGCCCAAGGTACTTGGCAAGTGAGTGGTGCAGCCAAGAAGAGAACACAGGTCTGTTGGACTATAAAACCCTTTAAGTACCACTAAACTGCTTTGCTGCCAAGCCCTCTGCATTCTTCTTGAGGTTGGATTTAAACTTTCTGTCCCTGTCCCTAGTTCAGCCCTCTGGTCCTGCCCCGCATTAGTTTACAGCTTTGTGTACATGCCACCCTTTCAAATACTTATTTGATGACCTTTCTTATGAGCCTACAAAGTCTTTGGCCTTGTTTCTTTGGTTGTTCTGTATATGGTTCAATTTCCCATACCCTTCCTAACTAGCCCACTTCATGAAGAGTAAAGCACCAAGACAGAGTGTCCTGGTACTTTCTGATTTGAGTGGACTCAGGCTTCTTTCTTTCTTTCTTTAATACGTTTTCAGCTCCTCTTGAATCAGGCCTCTTTATTTTTATTTGCACACACGAGGCATTTTTGAAGTCTTGTTATGCTAACTCAGAGCACCCTGTCACCTAAATCCACCACGTTTCCTCATTAATCCTGTGGATGCTAAACAAGTGACAAGCTTAAGTATTGTAATCCTCACCCCATCTGCCAAAAAGGAAATACATAATATTTCTCTATTCTTGGTGCCTTTGGAGGAGTAGACTTATTGGGGATCATGTGGGAAAGGGCTGCTATTTTGCTTCATAAAGAGCTGCGGTGTTTTTACTATTCATTAAATATTAACAAAAGTTCTAAAATTTCTGCAGCATTTTGGACTAGTGGTTTTTCTTGAGGGGATGGAGGATTGTTTAAGTTGGTTTGAAACTTGCAGGATGAATTTTGCATACTGGGAGGAATCTCTCAAGAATTTAATTTCCTCATCTAGGGCCGGCCCGTGGCTCACTTGGGAGAACGTGGTGCTGACAACACCAAGTCAAGGGTTAAGATCCCCTTACCAGTCATCTTTAAAAAAAAAAAGAATTTAATTTCCTCATCTAGGGCCGGCCCGTGGCTCACTTGGGAGAACGTGGTGCTGACAACACCAAGTCAAGGGTTAAGATCCCCTTACCAGTCATCTTTAAAAAAAAAAAGAATTTAATTTCCTCATCTAATTGAAATGAAAATATCTTTTATAACATGGCTGTCACCCCAAGTTTTTCACTGTTTTCATATCATAGTTTATTATTGACAAGTCTTCTCTCTCTTTTTTGAAAATTAAAAACATTTTCCTAATTGCTTAATTTTTAATTAGGAAATAAAACAAGCAAAAGAAATGGGCCAGCCCGGTGGCGCACTGGATAGTGCGCCACTTGGGAAGCGCGGCGGCGCTCCCGCCCGAGGGTTCGGATCCCACATACAGACCAGTTCCCGCTCACTGGCTGAGCGAGGCGTGCGAGCAACACGGAGGGTTGCGGTCCCGTTGCCGGACACGGAAAAAGACAAAATGCCGGACACGGAAAAAAAAAAAAAAAAAAAAAAAAAAAAAGCAAAAGAAAGAAAGATATTGTAAAACTTCCATTATCCCACTACCCAGAAAAAAACTATTAATATCTTGGTCAGTATCCTTCCAGATCCTTTCAATGCATAGTCAGACAAATAGGTGAGATTCATTTTGTGTTTTATTCCCACACCACCACCACCACGGCATCTTACTGCACTCATTCTCATTCTCATGGAGGACAGCTTCATGCTATCCACCAACATTACAAATCCATCTACACTTTGACTAGCAATTCCACTTCTAGGCATTTTATCCTACAGATGTAACACATGAAAATGACATGTACAGGATTATCTAGCTCAGTATTATTTGTAACAGCAGAAGATTAGATCCAGCCTAGATAAAAAATAAAAATTTAAAAAAAAAGCTAAGTAAATTATGGTGCAGTTCAATCATGAAACACTAAAGCTGTAAAAAAAAAAAAAAAAAAAAAAAAAAAAAAAAAAAAAAAAAAAAAAAAAGAATGATGTCCTCTGTGTACTGATAATGAAAGATTTTAAGATGACAGATATTTAGTGAAATAAGCGGGTTGAAACAGCATATACAACATTAATTTTTTTGTAATAAGGGGAGAAAAATAAGAATTTATATTTGTACATTTTTCACATGCTTAAAAATGTTTTGGAAATGAATTAAACTAAGAACAGTATATTAATGTATGGGAAAGGGGGAATGGGAAGGTGGAGGACAGTGTTGAGAGGGAGCTGCAACTGTGTGCCTTTTAATACTTTCTGGTTTTTAAACTAAGCGGAGGTATTATTTCCCATTCAGAATAAAAATTTAGTATTAAACTATGTATTCATATACTGTTTTATAGCTGCTTTTCCATTTAATATTATTAGATTTTAAATCTCTTTCCATATCAACTGTTCATTCATAACATTATTTTTTAAATGGCTACATAGTGTTCTGTTGCATAGCTGATTTGTTTAGTCCCTCCTTTGGGGCTTTTTGGTAGTCTTCAAATTCTTGTCACAGTGTTGTGTTGACCGTCCCCAAATGAACATTTTGTGTCCATCCTAAATTGTTTCCTTAGAATGAATCTTTTTTTCTACTTTATTTCCTCTCCTTTTTTACTCTGGTTTAATATCATTTATTTTGTGTGTATGGGTATGTCCCAAAGCCTTTCTTATTGTTGAAATTAGATTAACCCTTCTGAGCCTGGCTTCTAAAATCACCTGGGGTGCATTCTGACCCTTGCATCAAGGTCTTTGGACCTGAGAGCTTCCTTTTTTTATGCAGATTATTGATTACAGCATTACCTTTATCACTTTCTTGTATGTTAGAAGTGCAGTTACTCTGCTTAGAACAGAATCTTTTTTTCCTTAAACAGTTTTAGGTCTACAATTGAGAATGTTTTTTTTTTTTAATGTTTAAGGCAGGCCCTTTCAAAATTGTATTGCTGAGATTGGTTGCACAACAGTGTGAATGTACTTTACACTACTGAGCTGTATGCTTAAAAGTGGTTAAGATGGTGAACCTTATGTTGTGTGTGTGTTTTATCACAATTGAAAATACAACATAAATTGCACCTTTGAGCTGATACCTTAGAAATCTTACAAGAGTGGGCTGACCGGTTAGTTAGCTCAGTTGGTTAGAGTGCAGTATTATAAAACTAAGGTCACAGGTTGGGGTCTCCATAACCAGCCAGCTACCAAAAAAACAGAAATAAATATTATAAGACTTCAACACTGTTTTTAAGTTTTATTTTAATTGACACATAATAGTTGTTTAATAATCAAATCAGGGGTAATTAGCAATCCGTCACCTAAAAAATTTATAACTTCTTTGTGGTAAGAATATTCAAAATCCTCTCTTCTAGCTCTTTTGAAATATGCATTATTGTTAAATGTAGTCACCCTATTGTGCAATAGAACACCAGAACTTATTCTTCCTATCTAACTGTAACTTTGTACCCGTTGACCAACCTCTCCCTGTCCACCTTTCCCCCCAACCCTCCCTAGCCTCTGGTAACCACCGTTCTACTTTTTACTTCTATGAGATCAACTTCCTTTAGATTATACTTGAGTGAGATCATGTGGTATTTGCCTTAATGTAAGATTTAAAAAGTTTAACAAGCACTCATTATGTTCTGTATTAGTCTTTTTTTTTTGGCGGCTGGCCGGTACGAGTCTTTTGGAAGAAGGTTTATCCATTACACAAATCTAACCTCATATTTCCTGGCTTCCTGTGAAATTTTATGAATATATGTAAAATTTTATGTGATTGTATTTGTCTAGAAATCAGATTTTTGTGGTTTAAGATTTTTTCTTTCTGTGTTGGGAAAAAAAATACACCCCATGGTACAAAACTCAAAACAGTACTCAGAGATGTGCAGTGAGCCATCTGCTCCGCCTGCCCAGACAGCATTCATCCCTCCCCCACACCCCAAAGCAGCTATTCTGCAGTATTCTACAGTATTGTCTACATTCACAAGTGTGCGCATGTGTGAAATTGGGGGGCTGGATTCGTGTTTTTCTCTGTGTTTATTGTTATTGTTATGCCACAACTGTTTGATTCTCTGTTTGAATTCTAGGACAGCTGTGGGAAGAGGCAGAGCTTGGCTTTATCTTGCACTCATGCAAAAGAAACTGGCAGATTATTTGAAAGTGCTTATAGACAATAAACATCTCTTAAGGTATTTTATCACTATCTTTGCTTACCTTTTGCTTTGTAAATAATTAGAACATAGTTCTGTAGATCACTTTGAATTAAAATAGCTTTTATTCAAATTATTTTTTTAATGGTTAACTTTATGTTGTATATATATTTTACCACAATTTTAAAAGACACCCATGATCTCATTTATATGTGGAATCTAAAAAAGTCAAACTCAGGGGCGCACTGGAGGGTTCACCGCTTGGGAGCGCGGCGGCGCTCCCGCCGAGGGTTCAGATCCCATGTGGAGACCGGTTCCCGCTCACTGGCTGAGCGCGGTGCGGGCGCAACACCGAGGGTTGAGATCCCGTACCAGTCAGTAAAAAAGACAAAAAGGAAAAAAAAATAAAAATAAAAAAGTCAAACTCAGAAGCAGAGAGTAGAATGGTGGTCAGCAGTGGCTGAGTGGAGAGAGAGTTGGTATGATATTGGTCAAAGAAAAAAAGACTTCAGTTAGACAGGAGGAATAAGTTCAAGAGATCTATCCTACAACATGGTGACTATAGTTAATAACAATGTATTGTATACTTGAGAGTTGCTAAGAGAGTTAATTTTTTTTTTCTTGGCTGGCCAGTATGGGGATCTGAACCCTTTGACCTTGGTGTTGTAACACCATGGAGCTAACCAACTGAGCCAACCAGCCATCTGTCTGAGAGTAGATTTTTAAGTGTTCTCACTATATATGAATGATAAGTATGTCAAATTAAAAAACAATATCTAAAATTTTATAAATGAAAAAAGCTCTAGTTTAGTTGTTTAGAACACACCACCAAAAAAAAAGAAAAGAAGAAAAAAAAACTTTTCTCAGGAAAGGGACACTTTTTGTCTACACACAGGGGGGTATAATTCCTGAAGCTCGCTCCGTGAATGAGAGAATTAATGAGCAAATAAAGGAGGGATCAAATTAACAACCCCTCTGTCTTACTGGCTACCTCTCATTCTATCCACCATGTTTGTAGACTGACATTATGGTGATTCCACTAACACGTTCAGGTCTATGGACCCCAAGCTGAACCCCCAAATTATTAATATTAAATATTTTGTGGCTTAGTTTTAAAATAGCCTTTTTTTTTTTTTTTTGAGCACTGATATCTGAAAGTCATTATGAATGAAGATTCATCTGACTTTTCATTTTGAAAAATCATTTTGAAGATAATTCAAAAATATCACTAAGGATTGGTAACTGACAGCTTACTCCATTAAATTTCAATGAAATGGTGTTTATTAGATTGGACAAAAGGAAAAAATTACTTTAGAACTAGGTACAGGGGAAATTTTAAAGCATAAAACCCTACTTTTTGTAAGAGAACATACCTATATTACCTATTTTAAGATTCCATATTCAGTTTGTAAAATTTTATATCTCTTAGTATCAATAAAGACTTAAACCAGCTATCACTCAAATTTATGACAGGTTCACTTTTGATAAGTGTAATTATATAGCCAAACATAATCATTATAAAAGGAATTTTCTCTAGACTATCATAATTTATAAGGTAGGAATTGCTCTAGAGTTAATTCTCTTGTCTAATTGAGATAAAAATATCTTTTACAGCATGGCCTAAAACCTAAGTTTTTCAGTGTTTTCAAGTCATGGCTTATTATTGAACATACCCTTGTGTAGAGCTAAAGCAAGGTCAGGAGCTCACAGACCCCTCAAGCTCGTTGTCCAGACTGGGTCACAAATCCTTCACATGAAGGTCTATGAGCGAGGTAACCAGAAAAAAGGTCCTGGGAGCCTTGGTTGAAGAAAGAGTAGTTTTTATTCAGCACAGACGTCTAAGAGCTGAGGCAGTCCAAAGAGAGACTCAGAAACTCAACTGCTAAGGCAAAGTCCAAAAAAACTGAGCAGCTGCCAGCAAAGTAAACATGCTCTATTTTTAGACATGAGCTCTGCAGCCAGCGCTGCTTCACAAACTGAATAACACACAATAGCAACAAACTAAAAAGATGCATGGGTGCACATGCACACTAACTCCACCCACACACAGCTTGTTTACAAGAAATGTGCTGCAGGACCCCCAACCAGACCTGGGGGGAGGGAGCCTGACTCAACTATTTTCCCCACGCCTTGCATGATAAATACTGATCTCAAATAAAGTTCATATACTTTGTACTCTGAATGCAGTTATGTCACCTCTCCCCTAGGGTGACGGAGACACAAAGGATTACTCAAAGCCCATTTCTTCTGAGCAGTGAGAAGCCCCGAAGGGGTTAATTTCCACAACCCTCAAGAGAGAGGCATTCCTCAGAAAATTAACACTGACAGGGTCCTCTCTCAGTATTTATTCTCCAGGCCAGAAAGTTACAGAAAAGGAACATGGGTGGTTATGAAAAGAACAGTAAGATAACTCATGGCAACAATCATTAGGTTTAGCTGCACCAAGGACATCTGCCCTTGAAGCCAGCAATTTTGCTGTGTTACAATTCTTTATCTACAACAGAGACTTTAGCCTGGGGAAAGTTTTTTGTCTTTCGCGAGCATAACATTTCTATGTGTAATTCTAAAAAGTTAGTCTATACCTGAAACTACAGGGCCTTGGAAGCTAGGCCCAGTGAAATACATTTGCTTTATAAATGTTAGTATCCTCCACGCAGTTACACTGAGTAACTTTGAGTTACAGATTTCGTTCTAATGAACTTATTTTTAAGACAATGAATTCTCGTGTGTACATGCACACAAACTCATTCATACTGGGTGCCATTGGATTTAGTAAACAAGCAAATCATTGGTGACCAGAAGCAATAATAGACAGGGGATGGCAGCCCCACTGCAAATGGCCAAATGGCTGAAATGACTGGGAGGTAAAGAAATAAAAGCAGCACGTGTAGCTCAATGGGACACAAGAAAGACGGAAGAGGTTTTTTTGGATGTGGGGAGGCTGTGGGATCCTGTTTCCTGTTTATGTGTTTATATATAGAAGTAGTTCATATCAACGCAGGAGAGGAGCCAGTGGAGACACACGAGTGATGGAGTGATAGTCAGGAATGCAGTGGTCAAGAGGAGATGAGAAGGACTGGAGTCCTGGGCTAAACAGAGGAGCCAGTCTTAGGAGGAGGGAAGAGCCTGTTCTAAGCCACAGGAAGAAAAGAGGACAGAGGGGGCCGACCCGGTGGCGCACTGGATAGTGCGCCGCTTGGGAAGCGCAGCGGCGCTCCCGTCCGAGGGTTCGGATCCCACATACAGACCGGCTCCTGCTCACTGGCTGAGCGAGGCGCGGGAGCAACACAGGAGATACTGCAGTCATTCCCCATTATCCTCAGGAGATTGGTTCCAAAATCCATGGATGCTTAAGTCCTGCAGTTGGCCCTATGGAACTGTGGATATCAAAAGTTCGCCCTCCCTAAATGCAAGTTCCACATCCCTCAGATACTGTATTTTCCATCCACAGTTGGCTGAAAAATATCTGCATAAAAGTGGACTTGCACAGTTCAAACCTTCATTGTTCAAGGGTCAACTGTATTACATAACTTAGCTCTTACATAACGTTCGTATAACTTCGTATAATGTATGCTATACGAAGTTATTACGAGCAACACCGAGGGTTGCGATCCCGTTGCCGGTCCCGGTCCGGTACGGGGGTGACACTGAGGGTTGCGATCCGTTGCCGGACACGGAAAAAGACAAAAAAAAGAAAAGAGGACAGAGGAACCAGCAGCTCTAGAAGCAATGGAGGGAAATGAAAAGTAGGAAGGGAATACACACCAGGCAGCTTCTGGCTCCTGGGTGAAGTTGGTAGCCAGGCCATCAACTAAGGGTTGAAAAGTCCGGGTAGGTGGAGTGAAGGAGTGGTAAAGGCATTTCTGAGCAGCTCTCCTGTCATGTCAATCTCTTTCAGTGAGTTCTATGAGCCTGAGGCATTGATGATGGAAGAAGAAGGGATGGTGATTGTTGGTCTGCTGGTAGGACTCAATGTTCTTGATGCCAATCTCTGCTTAAAAGGAGAAGACTTGGATTCTCAGGTAAAATGGAATTTTGGCTCTACGTGGAATTAATTCGGCCAGGGATTTTACACAGGATCTGCAGACATATACTGAACCTGAGAAAGGGACAAATGGCAACAGCCTCCTGACAGAGGACTGGGCAAGGTCCTGTGCTGGGTGGTTTCTCAGGGATACTGTGCCTTGTAGAATTTTTATTTATTTATTTGTTCATTTGTTTATTTATATTTTTTTGGCAGCTAGTTGGTATGGGGATCCAAACCCTTGACCTTGGTGTTACAACACCATGCTCTAACCAACTGAAGTAATCAGCCTACCCTGAATTTTAATTTTTTTTGCAATCAAATTTAGCAGACGTTTCTTTTATACTTTCTAAGGTATTATGCTTTGAAGGTCTTTCCCCATCTGAAGATTAACATTGGGTGTTGGCTGGTGGCTCACTTGGCAGAGTGTGGTGCTGATGACACCAAGGTCAAGGGTTCGTATCACCATACCGGCCAGCCACTCCCCCCAAAAAATTAACCTAATTTTCTAAATGTGTATTTTTTACACTTAAATAATCTGTCATTTGTTTTGACACAGTGTGAAGTGGGAATCTAGATTTCTTTTCCAAATAGTAAACCAGTTTCCTCAATATCATTTATTAATTTTCCCTGAAATACTGTTTAGACCATTTCACCTATAATTTAAGGAAAGAAGGACTCAGAAGTGTCAGTTAAGGTCACCACTTTAGTCTAGAGATCCAGGTCTCCTTTTTTTAAAAAATTACTTTGTACCGAAAGAACTTTGTTGATTTTTGAAAACAATATGATAAATGAATAAACATAAAGAAGTAATTTTGATCAGGTGGTAAAATATCAGAATATTCATTTACATTCTAATTTTTTGTATGTTTTTCTTTCAGAAGATGGTAGGGTTATTTTTCTTTTGGTTTGTTCTCTTGACTACACTTTACAGAGCTGGTTAGTCTAATTAAATGTTTAAAGAAAAGAGATGAAAATGTACATACTCAGAATTTCAAAGATTGTAAAGTTTGTGGAAAATGGGAAATATTATTTTTAATTTTAGTTTGTGTATTTTACTTCTATCAGGTTGGAGTGATCGATTTTTCCCTCTACCTTAAAGACGTGCAGGATCTTGATGGTGGCAAAGAGTAAGTACTGCATTGTATGCTGTTGTGCTTCATGTTTTTAATGAAAGTCTGGCGTTTTAATGAAAGTCTTGTTTTTGCTTTGAGATTTTAGTTTTTGTTCAGTTATTTCTTTTTTTTTTTTTTGGCGGCTGGCTGTAGTTATTTTTAATAACATAGGTAATACATCACTGTTCTCATTGTTTAAGGAATTAAGCTTTGCAGAAGAATAGAGAGCACACATGGCTTTCCCCACTCCCACTGCCCCCTTGCCTTCATCTCAATCCCACTCTTCCCCTCAGAGGAAGCTACTTTTACATCTCCTTCCAAACCTTTTTTTAATACCTCGCAGGTATTTATTTACTGGCAGTGTATTTTACTTTACAGTGTGTTTGAATATAAATTGAATGATCTTGTATAAGTTCCCCTTGGACTTGTTCTTTGATCATAGTGTGTCTCGGATGTCTATTCATGCCACTGCAGAGCTCTCCCTCATCCTCATTAACATGAGCATTCTTTTAAGAGAAGCTATCCAAGAGAAAAAAAGAAAAGGAAAAAAAAGCAATGTGCATAACATGCTACCATTTATGTTATAATAAAAAAGATATACTCCTACATACATATTCACATGTTATACTCTTGTGTGCATGGAGTATTTCTAGGGTGGCACATTGACCCGATACCAGTGCTTACCTGTGGAAGCAGGCAAGGGAAGAAGTTTTCACTGTAAACCCTTGGGACATGTTGGAGTATCTTGCCATGTGCATGTGTTACCTGCCTTTCACACAAGGACTCCCCTGGTCTCAGTTCCTGGCAGTGCAGCTTGCTAAGGAAGGGACCAGTGGGAACCCCATTAATGCTTCCTGCACCCAAAGTACAAGGGTTCACTCACTTGAAACTTAAACAAAATTTATTCGTATGCCCCCAAATAAAAAAATCTGGAAATAAGCTAATTATCCACTAATAAGGGAATAATTGAATGAATTATGGAACATGCATAGTATTCCATGCTATCGTATATTGTGCAGACATAAAAAAGAAAATTTAAGCTACCCATATACTGACTCAAAGGGATTTCCGCAAGGTATTGTTGAATGAGAAAAGTATGATGCTGAGAAGAATGTATGTGTGTGTGTGTATATATATATATATATATATGTATCCCATTTTTGTAAACAAACCAAAAAATTTCTAATACGAGTATATATTTTATATTTTAATTATATATACTATAGGTACATTAGATAGATATTATGATTATATGCGCATAGAAAGATACTCAACAGGCTGTTAATATGTGTTACCCAGGAGAGCTATGTAAAGGTCAGAACACGTAAAAAAAAAAAATGACTATACTGAAAAACAAATTCAGCATCAATTCCATGAACCTATGTAGGATGATCCCATTTATATAAATTACGTATGTGTATATATATATGTAAAGAAATCAGGGGGGGAGTCTAACTTTTTAGGATTTTTTCTTAATCCAAACTTCCCTGCTTTAGACTAATCAGCTTTGTGTTTTGAAAAGTCTCGTGGTCTCCTTTTCTGAGTGAGCCTCCTTTCCTTCAGTATTATAGGGACTGTGTACATCTGCCACTTCCAGAGCCACTTGACTGTGGCAGATTGGTGTTTTCACCTTACATGCTGATGGCGTTCTCTCCTCATCCCAAAGGCCCATCCAGTCTGCAGAAAGGGAAGGGCATCTTCAGGGAGCCTACTCTCTGGGCAGCCTGTCCCTCAGGCCCTAGCTGCTGTGCCCCGGCCAGCCTTGCTCTTTGTGTACTCCTGCATTGGGGCAGGACCATGCAGGTATCACTAAGCTTTGTCTGTCTCTTGGTTTCCTGAAGACATTAGTACTCCTACAAGGTGATATAGGAAGGTTGGCAGACAATTACAAAGTATTAACCATGAATAAAAAAATTTCCCCTTTTTATGCTCCTTTTAAAAGGTATGAAAGAATTACTGATGTCCTTGATCAAAAAAATTATGTGGAAGAACTTAACCGGCACTTAAGGTATGACTCACTCTTTTTTCCAGTGTTACAGTTACATACTCGGTATCCATTGTTTCATGGAACTTTTTTGAGTTGCCATATTTATAACTAACTTTAGTCCAACCCAAGAAAAAGGGTTATCATTCAAGCAACAGTCATGTGTACAGACTGGAGAGGTATGATTTCCTCTTGATAAACAGGTTTGGGGGAATCTTGGGTTCTTTGGGTTTTGCTGTTGTAAATACAGAGAAGTAAATACATTAAACCTTGAAATTCCACTCCTAACCCACAGTCACGTGGTTCACAGTCCCTGCCACGGCAAACTCTGTTACCATGGAACCACACACAGCCCTCCAGTGCACTGGGAGAGGAAAAAAGAGTTTAAAACCCCTGGGCTAGACCTTGCAGAGCAATGTGATAATGATCATAGGCATCTTTATCTGGATTTTTTATTTTAGTCAGAAAGTTGCTGATGTGTTTCATGAAACATGAGTCCTTGGAGGTATTGGTGGAGAGTGGGAGAGAGACTCTTAGCCTAATTGTTTGGAAGACATGTTATTCTCTCTCTGAATCCCCTTCTAGAAAGTACATTGCACATTAGCAGTGCTCTACAGGGCAGCCTCTCTAGCCCCAAAACCCAAAGAAACAGGTAAAGAAGCTGGCATGTTCCTCCAAATGTACTCAGGAAAACGCTGCTCTGAGCCTTTCCTTAACTGTGACATTGGCTGTTTTCTGAGAGAGATTTTCTGGTTGATTTCTAGTTTATTGAGAGTTTTTATAAGGAATAGATGTTGAATTTTATCAAAAGGTTTTTAGTATCCACTAAGATAATCATGATTTTTATCCCTTAATTTATTGATGTGATGTATTTTATTAGTAGACTTCTTCATACTGAACCGTTTCTATATCACAGGGATAAATTCTACTTGATCATAGTTTTAATAATTTAACCATCTTTTTAATATGTAACCTGACTTAATTTTTCTATAGTTTTCTTTCTCTGGCATGGTATCATGGTTTTGTAGCTTCACAAAATGAATTAGCAAGCTTTGCTTTATTTCTGTGCTGGGAACAGATTCTAGGTCATGGGCATTATTTGCTTCTTGAAAATGAGACGCTCAAAGCCTTTATGAGGCTATTAATACTGTGGCATAATCCTGCCAACGACCTCAATTGTCAAGCTAGGGCTAGAATCTGAAGCTCATAGACCCCTTGAGCCCATTCACAAACCCTTCACATGCAGGTCTATGAGCCAGGTAACCAGCAAAAAAGTCCTTGGAGCCTTGGTTGAAGAAGGAATAGTTTTTTGTTTTTTTGTTTTTTGTCTTTTTCGTGACCGGTAAGGGGATCACAACCCTCGGCGTGGTGTGGTCCGCACCACACTCAGCCAGTGAACACACCGGCCATCCATATATAGGATCCGAACCTGCGGCCTTGCCGCTACCAGCACCGCACTCTCCCGAGTGAGCCACAGGGCCGGCCCAGAAGGAATAGTCTTTATTCAGTATACACAACACTATGAGCTAAGCAGTCCACAGAGAAACATAGAAACTCAACTGCTACTGGCAAAGTCCAAAGAAAAACTGAAACTGAGCAGCTGCCAGCAGAGTAAACATGCTGTATTGTTAGAGGCCAGCTCTTTGCTGCCAGTCTGCTTCACAAAACTGCAGAACACACAAAAGCAATTAACTAGAAAGATACATGGGTGCACATGCACACATACTCCACTCTCACAGAACTTGTTTACAGGAAATGTGCTGCTCCACCCCCTTGAGCTGAGGGAGCCTGACTAAATTATTCTATTTTCCCCACAAATACCTTGCCAGATTTTTAGTTTTCCTTAGTTGTTAGTTCATCTAGGTTTTCTCCTGAGTATATGCCTTTTTTTTTTTTTTTTTGTAATTTATATTCAAAGAAAAATATAAATTTTACTGGTATTTTCTAAGTTACTTTTTTTTTAAAAAAAAGATGACCAGTAAGGGGATCTTAACCCTTGACTTGATGTTGTCAGCACCACGCTCAGCCAGTGAGCGAACCGGCCATCCCTATGTGGGATCCGAACCCGGGGCCCTGGTGTTATCAGCACCGCACTCTCCCGAGTGAGCCACGGGCCGGCCCCTAAGTTACATTTTTGATATAGAATTAAAAATTGTATACCCTTAGGGCCAGGCCCGTGGCGCACTCGGGAGAGTGCGGCGCTGGGAGTGCAGCGATGCTCCCGCCGCGGGTTCGGATCCTATATAGGAATGGCCAGTGCGCTCACTGGCTGAGCGCGGTGTGGGCAACACCACACCAAGGGTTGCGATCCCCTTACCGGTCACGAAAAAGACAAAAACAAACAAACAAACAAACAAAAAATTGTATACCTTTAAAACTTTTCATTCCCTCCATGTTTTGGTTTTTTTCCCCCTTTTTTTTAAAGATGACCGGTAAGGGGATCTTAACCCTTGACTTGGTGGTGTCAGCACTACGCTTTCCCAAGTGAACTAACCGGCCATCCCTGTATAGGGATCTGAACCCGTGGCCTTAGTGTTATCAGCACCAGACTCACCCAAGTGAGCCACGGGCCGGGCCTGTTTTTCCCTTTTTCTTTTTATGTCTTTGGATTTTCTCCCAACCCAATTCCTGAACTTTGATTCATTAGCCTTGCCAGGTTTGGTTCTTTGTCCCCATCACCAGCAAAAGCAACCAGTTTGTGGAAGTATAGTCTGTTGCCTGAAGTACAGACTCTGGAGCCACATCTCTGGGTTTAGATGCTGGTACCCCTTGATCGATGTATGAACTTGAGTGTGTTCTTTAATATAGTTATGGTTTCCTCATCTGTAAAATAAGTTCACAATAGAACCTACCTCATCAAATTGTGAGAAGGATTAATTGATGCATTTAAAGTGCTTAGAACAAATAGGGCCTGTTACCTAGTCCGAAAAATAAGTTACTAATATTATGATCGTGGTAATTATTGTGATTGTTTATCAAGTCTACTGTTTTCCTACTTGCTGATTCATTACATTAGCATTTTACACATTTTTCATTATAAAAGTAGTACATAGGGGCCAGCCCGGTGGCGCACTGCTACAGTGCGCCGCTTGGGAAGCGTGGTGGCGCTCCCGCCGAGGGTTCGGATCCCACATACAGACCGGTTCCCACTCACTGGCTGAGCGAGGTGCAGGAGCAACACCGAGGGTTGCGATCCCGTTGCCGGTCCCGGTCCAGTACGGGCGCGACACTGAGGGTTGTGATCCGTTGCCGGTCACAAAAAAAGACAAAAAGGAAAAAAAAATAAAATAAAATAAAATAAAAGTAGTACATATTATTTAAAGAATATTTGAAAAATGGAGGAAAGCATAAAAATATTTAAAAATCACCTTTGATTCTACTACCCAAAAGTACCAACGTCTTGTTATGGATATTACTTTAGGTATATGACTGCTGACACATATTGATTCCCATCATCTACAGTGCTGGGGGGAGATTTTCTTTGCAATTGACTGAAATATGAATGAACAGAATATTTTAGGAATAAAATTTACTAAAAAGTAAGTGTATATAGACACCCACACACGTACACACACATACTTATTTAGAATGCTCATCTGAGTTAATTGGAGCCCCATTGCCTTTCCGTTTCATGTAGGAAATCTAGGAATCTGTCTTCTCATTGTTTACAGGTTGGGAAAACAATCAGCTTTTATATGTTCATGTTTACCTAATATTTATATTTTCTATAGCTGCACAGTTGGGGATCTTCAAACCAAGATAGATGGCTTAGAAAAAACTAATTCAAAGCTTCAAGAAGAGGTTTGTGACTTATTAAACTTTTTAAACAAAACAGAATGATCAAGGTTAATGGTATAGTTGGTATGTCTAACCAGGGCTTCTGGCTGATAGGAAGGGGAATTGCTAGCCTCTGGATGAGCTGCATGTGGGGCAGGAAAATGCCTGTCTCCTACTGAGACACTGCAGCTGATCATGAGCCAGTTCTAAGTGACTTTTAGGTTTTATCACCTCAAAGTAATCCAAGGGAAGAAAACTCCTCACTGGACAAGGCCAGCTTCTGTTGAGAGAGTGCAATTTCTTCCTCTTTTTCAACCTTTGCTATCATGTAGTATGCCTCTCTGCTATCCCAGAAGGCACAGACTGTTACGAAGTGTAAGTACTCTAGCCTACCCCTTCTGTTTCGGCCTCTGAGGAGCATGGAACCAGTCTCCCCACAGTGTGGTCTTTCTGCTTTCTCACTAGGAAGAGAGAATGAAAGGACAGGAAGAAGGAGGGCTGAGGCCGAGGAAGAAAGCTTGCTGCCAGATGCCCGGCAGTCTCCTTGGTGGACACATCTTGTCTCCTGTTAGCAGGAGGGGGGTTGCTCAGCCTTTCTGAGGCTTTCCACAGGTAGCGGTCCCTGGCTGTTCAGGCCTCCCCACCTAGTTTCGTTGGGAAGGAAGAGGGCTTTGAGAGGGGGCTTGAGAATGAACACTGTCACAGTGTGGAGGCAGGTGACAGCTGAATGGAGAATCTCAGAGCACGCTTCTGTAATGAAGGACCCCCAGTTAAGGACCACTTTAAACTCACTGCTCTCTCCAGAGGGACCAGCCCTGCAAGGCTTTCAGGAGAGGAACTCAGATTTGTGTCAGGGAAAGGAAATTCAAAGAAAGATGAGGGCTTCATGGGAAAAACTTCACTGAACTTAGAATTTGGAGGATTCACATTCACCTTGGTACGTAGGTCCTTGAGCCTCACTTTTCTCATCTCCAAATTAGGTAGTAATACATACTTTATAATATTGTGTAAAGATTGTTAGTGAACGTCCTATAAATATGCCTAATACAATACTTGGCATGTGGGGCACTCAAGAGTTGGTTGATTTTAGGACAAGCAGATTCACTCTGTTCTCTTAGACAAGGTGGCATGCTTTGAATGAAGGTCTAATTTAGCTTTTGAAACTAAACTGGGTTATGTTTTCTTTAAAGGCAAATGATCCCCTTCTTCAGGGTGTGCTCTGTGTCTTCAGAGAGTGGAATGGGAGCTAGCTGATGGTTTTTGCCTACTGCTTCCCTTTTAGCAGCTAACACTCCTTCATAGCCTTAACGTTTCTTGTTTGGCACAGCAGTTCTGTTTAGAATCTGCAGGCCTGGGTTCTGAGTCTGAGTGGGGAGTAATTGTGAGGGCAATTTAGATGCTGCTGACGGAGGAGAGGAGTTCCAGATTCCTTCACTAGTGGATAGTGCGGACCACAGCCACGTGCCTGTCACAACGGTCTTGCTTCTTTCTCCTTCTCCAGCCTTACCCTTGTCTCTGCAAGCTGTGTTCTGAGGCTGGCATAAGGAGGGGTTGGTTGGAACATTTATTCATCTACCTTGCCTCTTGTGATAGCTTCTCCTCAGGCAGACCCATGAAAGCATCCTGCTCCTGTATGCTCTTCCCTCAACAAGTGATAACTCATTCAAGGACAGGAAGAGTTCCTCTTAGACATGCCTTTGCTTTGCTTTGCTTTGCTTTTTTTTTTTTTTTGGCAGCTGGCTGAACCCTGACCTTGAACCCTGGACCTTGGTGTTATCAGTACTACACTCTAAACAACCGAGCTAACCAGCCAACCCTAGGACGTGTCTTTAATGATTTGCTTTTTATTCCTCCCCCTAAATTCTTTAATTCTCTCCTTGATGATAAAATATACTTTTGCTCATTGGGTAGAAAAACTGTAAAGAGTGAAGAATTAGGAAAAAAGCCTATAATCCCTTTGCTAAGTGATAGCTATTTTTATCATTTGTTTTATATATCATCCCCATCTTTTCCTAAGCATTTTTAATCTGTTGATTTTTCTTTTAAATTATAGGTGAGAGCATACTATGTTACTTGCTTTTATTCCTTATTAGTATTATATCATAAGATGTTCTCAAATCATTAAAAGCTTTTGTAAACATTTTAATAATTACATAATTCTTTTTTATGCTTCTGTAATTTAACCATTTCTCTAATATTAGACATTGATACTGTTTCTAATTTTTTGTGTCCGTAAATCATTGCCTTCATTAAGTAGTATGCTATCATTTTTATAAAAGGAGAGAAAATCTGGGGAGGACAGAGATGGCTAGGGGCAGGGATGGAAGAGAGATTTTACTATATACATTTTTATGTCTTTTGGAATTTTGAACCATGTATTCCCTACTCAAAACAAGGAAATAAAATATCAAACATGTGAAAATACAGTGTAAATTGTGACGATGCCAAATAAATGTTAGCTTTTAATTTGAACAGTAAGATTAATTTTGATGTTAAGTATAAAAATCTTTCTTAATCAGCTTTCAGCTGCAACAGACCGGATTTGTTCACTTCAAGAAGAACAGCAACAATTAAGAGAACAAAATGAATTAATTCGTGAAAGAAGTGAAAAAAGTGTAGAGGTGAGGAATTGGCTTTACAGTTGGGTGGCGTGTTTCTCACTCAGACTTACACATTGTCAGCCTCAAGCTCATAGTTTGATAATGACCCAGTCATCAGAATGTGCAAAGCTGCCTTGTTTGATGTCAGAAAGGACCTCCTGCCGCTGTCGCCACCCACTTCACTCTCAGGCCATCAGGCTACTTGGACTTCCTCACCTCTGGGGCCTTTGCACACCAAAGTTGCTGTTCATTCTTCAAATTCTGCTCACATGCTGGGTCCTCTGTGATGCTGTCCCTGGTACCCATGGGTGGACCTAGACCCTCCTTCTCCTGTATTCCCATAGCTCTTTGTACATCTAATGTTTTGTTAATTGCTGGCTTGTAGCTCTATCTCACCCAATGACTTGAGGGTAGAGACGATATCTGATTCACCTCTAAATCCACCAACTGCTAAAAACATGCTCATAAATACTAAATGATGGATTGAATGAGGGCCTTTCCCACTAAGGGCTATATTGTTCTGTTTTAAAGAAAATTAAATATAAATTATTTTATGGACTAACTTTTCAAAAAATCCATTGGCTGCTCTCATCCTTTATCTTCAAGTTCTAACATCTTTAAATTCTTAACTTTTTTCTATCATGCCTAAAAAATAGAAATTATCCTGCATTTTTAAAAATGGTATATTTTAAAATACCTTATAGTTGGCTTGCTTTCCATAGCAAACCATTCTTATTGCTTTTCTTATTTAATACAGATAACAAAACAAGATACCAAAGTTGAGCTGGATACTTACAAGCAAACCCGGCAAGGTCTGGATGAAATGTATAGTGATGTGTGGAAGCAGCTGAAAGAGGAGAAGAAAGTCCGATTGGTGAGTGTGCAGGACAGGGTGTCTTTAGAAAAAGTTCTCCAATAGCTCTCTAAGTTCATTCTGCAGCACTTTTCACATACATGCTGAAACTTGCTGACACTCATGGAAAGTCAGAAATTGTCGGGCTGGCCCCGTGGCTCACTCGGGAGAGTGTGGCGCTGGTACGCCGAGGCCACAGGTTCGGATCCTATATAGGGGTGGCCGGTGCGCTCACTGGCTGCGCGTGATGCGGACGACACCATGCCGAGGGTTGTGATCCCCTTACCAGTCGGGGGGAAAAAAAAGTCAGAAATTGTCTTTTTTTTTTTTTTTAAAGCCTGTGTTTACAACTCAGTTCTGCAGTGTCACTTAATATATATATATTTTTCCATTTTATAAGGCTTTTTCAGAGATAGCTATGAGATCAGACTCATGGATTCTTTAACAATACAATTCTCTCAGCCATAGCCTCTGCCCTGTTTCCACTCAATCTGTGTCAGGGAACAAAGTTCTGCGCCTGCTTTGTTTCTTTGTTTCTTTGCATAGATGTGCAGAAACATGTGTCCTGGGTTGTCCAGGATTCCATATTTCAAAATGGTTGCACTTTTTTTGCCATAAACTAGAAAACTATTCCAGAAACTCTAACTTTGCAACATCAGATCCCTTCCAGCACTCAAACACAAGACAAACATTCCTTCAGACCAGATGTTCTGATCTCTGGGTTTGGAGAATACGGCTGTAAGAACTCTAGGCTCACCTTGCTTCTGACCAGCTTTCTGTTGATTTGACACAGAGCCAGCTTTACTTGTACAATGAGAAAAAGGGGGAAACATCATCTTTATGTGCTCCAGACAGATTTTTCTCAATCTCCCTAACCTGACCTTCAGTTTACATTTTAGGCATTGCCCAATATACAACCTTAGTTAAATACTTTAATAACATTTTCCTATCCCTTTAAGGAACTAGAAAAAGAACTGGAGTTACAAATTGGAATGAAGACTGAAATGGAAATTGCAATGAAGTTGCTTGAAAAGGACACCCACGAGAAGCAAGACACTCTAGTCGCCCTCCGCCAGCAGCTGGAAGAAGTCAAAGCGATTAACTTACAGATGTTTCACAAAGTTCAGGTGGGAGTTGGCTTTGTGTCCATATCACAGCCTGGTTTCCTGCCACTTGTCACATGCTGCCTCTCAGTCTTACGTGATTCTTCCAGCAGAGTGAGCGAACAGACACATCTGTGAGCACCTACTATGTGTCAGGCCTAATCCTAGGCCCTATGATGTGTTTCTGCATTTATTTTATTTGATCCACACAGAAATCCCTGAGAAATGGGAGGAGATGTAAGCAACAAGGCAGAACCAAGTGGCTAAATCGCATGCCCCTGGTGGCATAGCTAAAAGTAGAGCTGAAACCTGAGCTGTGTCTTTTTAATCCAGACCTGAACTTTGTTCATCAGGCCTTCACTGGCTCCCTGCTATTTGTTTCCTTCCATTTCAGTGACTAATTGTTTACACCTAGAAATGGAGAAATGAATTAAAGATATCGTTTAGTATTGCCTTTTCTTTCCTTTTTTTTTTTTTTTTTTTTTTTTTTTTTTTTTTTTGTGATCGGTAAGGGGATCACAACCCTTGGCTTGGTGTTGCCCACACCGCGCTCAGCCAGTGAGCAAACCGGCCATCCCTATATAGGATCCGAACCTGTGGCCTCGGCGTACCAGCGCCACACTCTCCCGAGTGAGCCACGGGGTCGGCCCTAGTATTGCCTTTTCAATCTTTGCTATTAATTTAATCCTGCTGAGTATTCCAGGCCACAAGCTAGCTGCTTGCCCCTCTTCTGCCGTTTCACAGTGGTCAAGGGGAACTAGCCCAGAAAGAATCAGTCATGCCAGAATTTTAAAAATAACATCTAAGAACTGTAAAGCTTCCTTGCCCAGAAACTACCCAGAAGGGCACCATTCTGTGTCCTCAAAACTTAGCTCTTTTTTTAAAGTTCTGATTTCTGTTTTATTACCAAAACAGTCATACTTCATTTTCCATAGATATGGTTTTACTCTCACTTCCAGTAACATTTATGTCAAAGATAATGTGAGGGCAGACAGTCCTAATAAACTGTGTTATTTTTTCCTGTCTTTTTTTTTTAACTATTACATAATATTATATCAGTACTATACACCGTTCTTTTTCCGTGTCTTTTTTTTTTAACTGTTAAATAATAATATAATAATAACATTGAAAATTGAAAACAAAATGGGCCGGCCCGGTGGCGCACTGGATAGTGTGCCGCTTGGGAAGCACGGCGGCGCTCCCGCCTGAGGGTTCGGATCCCACATGCAGACCGGTTCCCGCTCACTGGCTGAGCGAGGCGCAGGAGCAGCGCTGAGGTTTGCGATCCCGTTGCCGGTCCCCGGTCCGGTGCGGGGGCAACACTGAGGGTTGCGATCCGTTGCTGGACACGGACAAAAGACAAAAAACAAAAAAAAAAAAAAAAAAGAAAATTGAAAACAAAAAAGGAAAGGAGGAAAATACATAGTCTCACTGTCCTGACAAGGAGTTTTTTTATGTTTTCTTCTGTTTTTTTGGTCAGTATATGGACATAATATTAATGTGTGTTAGTTAGGGGAAACTAAACTGCTGTAATAATTTAGCAGACCCCAAAATATAATGGCTTAAAAATATCAAGTTACACCAAGGTAAAGGGTCAATTTCCCATGCTGGTCAGCTGCCAAAAATATATATATATGGAAAATGTATTTCTGTTACCTAATAGTTCCAAGGTGAGCATTTCAAACTGGCGGTTTTGCTCCGCACCGTCATTCAGGGACCCAGGCTAGTGCAGCTCCAGCTGTGCAGGCTGTTCTAGTTGTCAGTATTCCTGCCAGTGGAAGGGGAGAGAAGCACAAGTCCAGAGCTAGGGATTTTCCCTTAGGCAGTGAGACAGAAGTCCCACACATCACTTCCAGTCAGTTCCATGGGAAAGGGCTAGTCACCATGGCCATGCCTGGCTTTGAGGGGGACTTAAGATGTCATCTTTTCTGGGCTATATAAAAGGGAGAATAGGTAATGGTAGACACACAATTTTCTCCACCATGGTCGGCCCGGTGGGAGCTGCTGTGAACTCCCATCCAATCCCTGCGTCCTCTGCTAAGTCTACAGTCTAACCTTATTTGGCTTCAGAATCAACGTTAGGCTGGCATTAAAAAATAAGCTCTCCTGCTCTGTTTCTGTAGAATGACTTGTGTAAGAACAAATGTCTGTTCTCAACAAGTTTTGTAAACCTGTTTTACAGGACTCATCTGGGTCTGGGACTTTTTGAGTAAGGAGACTTTGATAACTATTTCATCTTATTGGATGCTTACTGGTTCATGTCATGTTTTCTGTTTTTTCTGATGCTGATTATGGTTTTTTGTGGGGGTTTTTGTGGGGGAGGTCTGGCCAGTAAGGGGATCTGAACCCTTGACCTTGGTGTTATCAGCATTGTGCTCTAACCAAGTGAGAGTTTGGTATATTTTTATATTTTATATTTTATATAAAAATATATCTATCTTTTTAGGTTTTCAAATGTTTTAGCTCATAGTTGTTTATTATGTTCTCTTACAAAATTCTTTAATCTCTTTTATTCAGTATTTTCTTAGTTGCATTTTCTGTCTTTTTTCCTTATTCACTTTTGCTGTAGGTGTATTGGTTTTTTTGGTTTTGTTTTTTTTTAAGATGACCAGTAAGGGGATCTTAACCCTTAACTTGGTGTTGTCAGCCCCACGCTCTCCAAATGAGCTAACCGGCCATCCCTATATGGGATCTGAACCCGTGGCCTTGGTGTTATCAGCACCACACTCTCCAAAATGAGCCACAGGCCGGCCACAAGGTGTATCTGTTTTTTTTGGTTGTTGTTTTTTTTTTTCCTTTTTGTCTTTTTTCGTGACTGGTAGCGGGATCACAACCCTCAGTGCTGCGCCCACACCGCGACCAGCAACGGGATTGCAACCCTCGGTGTTGCACCCGCACTGCGCTCAACCAGTGAGCAGACCAGTCTCTATATGGGATCCGAACCCTCGTCGGGAGCGCAGCTGCGCTCCCAAGCGCCGCACTCTACCGAGTGTGCCACCGGGCCGGCCCAAGGTGTATCTGTTTTAATAATCTTTTCAAATAATGAACATTTTTCTCCTAATAGGCATTTTTGTTTGTTGTTTCATACTTCATTGGTTTCTACAGTGGCATAATAAGAAATGTATATTTGGCCTCTGTCCCTAGTTCTTGTCACACAACTAAAATCTTTGGATACTCTGGGGTGATGAGTGTCTTCTGTATGATAACAAGATGACTGGTGACTGGGGTCCCTAGACAGCTTCAGGATGATGGCTGGTCACCAGAACGACCAAGGCAGGATTAGAGGTTTGAACTTTTGGCCCCAGCCCCTACCTCCAGGGAGGGGAGAGGGATTGGAAATTTAGTCAATCACCAATGGCCAGTGATTTTATCACTCATGCCAACATAATGAAAACTCCATAAAACCGCTAAGGGACATGGTTCGAGAGCTTCCAGGCTAATGAACACATCAAGGTGCTGGGACAGTTGCACACCCCCAGTGGTCATGGAAGCTTCATGCTGCTTCCCCTATACCTTGCCTTATGCGTCTCTTCTATTTGACCATTCCTGAGTTGTATTATTTATAATAAACTGGTAATAGTAAGTAAAATGTTTTTCTGAGTTCTGTGAACCATTTTGGCAAATTATTGAACCTGAGGAAGGGGTTGTGAGAACTCCCAGCTTATTAGCTGGTTGGTCAGAACTACAGCTGGCAACCTGGGCCTTGGGACTGGTGTCTGAAGTAGAAGCAGTCTTACAAGACTGAGCCCTTGGGCCGGCCCGGTGGTGCACTGGATAGTGCGCCGCTTGGGAAGCGCGGCGGCGCTCCCGCCCGAGGGTTTGGCTCCCACATGCTGCCCAGTCCCCGCTCCCGGGCTGGGGGGGGCGCGGGGGCAGCACCGAGGGTTGCAATCCCGTTGCCGGTCCCGGTCCGGTACGGGGGCAACACTGAGGGTTGCGATCCGTTGCCGGACACGGAAAAAGACAAAAAAAAAAAAGACTGAGCCCTTAACCTGTGGGGGTCTGTGCTAACTCTGTAGAATAAGCATCAGAATTGAATTGAATTGTAGGATACCCAGTTGATATGAGAGATGGTTGTTGGTGTGGGAAAAAACACACATTTGGTGTTAGAAGTATTGTAAGTAAAAACAGTTTGCCCTCACCTACTTTTTTGGGGGAGTTTGCACTGTAGCTCATTTTCAACTTTTGAAATGCGTGCTTAGTGCAATTGTTCTGTCTTTATTTATATCATAAATTTTTTTATTTAAAGGTAAAAATTATCTACAAGAACTACTTTAGCTATGTCCCTTAAATTTTTTTTTTCCTTTTTGTCTTTTTTACTGACCGGTAACGGGATCTCAACCCTCGGTGTAGTGCCCATACCGGGGACCGGCAATGGGATCGCAACCCTCGGTGTAGTGCCCATACCAGGGACCGGCAACGGGATCGCAACCCTCGGTGTAGTGCCCATACCGGGGACCAGCAACGGGATCGCAACCCTCGGTGTTGCGCCCACACCATGCTCAGCCAGTGAGCGGGAACCGGTCTCCACATGGGATCCGAACCCTCGGCGGGAGCGCCGCCACGCCCCCAAGCGCCGCACTCTCCAGTGCGCCACCAGGCCGGCCCTGTCCCTTAAATTTTGACAAAAGTATTTCATCATCAAAGAAGCACATTTCTCACATTTTAGCATCTCTGAAGTCAAGATGCATCTTACAGTCAATGACATGTCATCTTTCCATTAGCAGTTGTATTAGTCTGTTTTCTGTTGCTTATAACAGAACACCTAAAACTGGGTAATTTATAAAGAAATAAAATTTATTTAGTACAGTTTTTCAGGCTAAGTTCAAAGTTGAGGGGGCACATTTGGTGAGGGCCTTCTTCTTGGTGGAGACTCTCTACAGGGTCCACTGGCAATTCAGAGTATCACATGGTGAGGGCTCAGGAAGAGCGCATCTTCTCATGCTTCTTCCTCTCCTTATAAAGCCTGATAACCTATGGAACTCCATGAATAGTCCTCACAATCCAGTCACCTCCCAGAGGCCCCACCTTTCAAATACGGTAGTCAGAGTTCCCACCCTCTTAATATTGTTACAATGGGATTAAGCTTCAGTGATTTGGGGGGGGGGGGACCTTCAAACCATAGCAGCTGTTTTCTTTCTTTCTTAGTGCTATATAAAATTAAAACATCACACAGTGATTTCATTGTCTTTCAGTTCTAAGTATTTCATAATTTCTCTTCTGGCTTTTTAGTTTAATAATTTTTAGCTGTGAGTTTCCAAATATGAGGTGTTTTTAGCTATTCTTTTGCTGTTCATGTCTAATTTTATTACATTAAGGTCAGAGAATACAAGCAGTATGTTATTTCTTAGGAATTTATTAGGACTTCCTTCTTTTTTTCCTTTTTGTCTTTTTTCGTGTCTGGCAACGGATCGCAACCCTCAGTGTCGCGCCCGTACCGGACCAGGGACCGGCAACGGGATCGCAAACCTCGGTGCTGCGCCCGCACCTCGCTCAGCCAGTGAGCGGGAACCGGTCTGTATGTGGGATCCGAACCCTCGGCGGGAGCGCCGCCGCACTCCCAAGCGGTGCACTGTAGCAGTGTGCCACCGGGCCAGCCCAGGACTTCCTTCTTTCTTCAGCCTTTTAGTATCCTTTTATTTTAAGGGTGTTTCTTGTAAATACATAGGAACACAGAGTGCCCCTCCTATAACTCAGTATGTGTTATGGTTAAAAGCCTGGGCTCATAAAGTCACACAGATATGGGTGTGAACCCAGCCTCAACTCTCAGTTGCTCTCTGACCTTCAGCCAGTCCCTTTCTCTTTCTGAGCCTCCCTTTCTCAGTGGAAGAAGTGGGGCTGACAGTGTCCCCTTGAGAACCCTGCTGGGGTCGGATGAACTAGTGGGTGTGCCTGGCATATGACGACAGCTCAGGAACACTGAATCTGACCTGACTCAGGAGTTCCTTGATTTCAAAAGGATCAAAGGTTGCAGTTTCTCCTCTGCCTTTCTTTCTGTTGACAAAGCTGGGAGCCTTGGCCCAGTTTGTCTTCCAGGGCTCTAGAGAAGAGCATCGACTAATGAGATACTCTTGAAAGGATTATAAAAGTATAAGGTTAACAATTAAACCCTGCTTGTAATCTAGAGCAGGCATGGGGGTGGGGCAGGCAGAGTCTGACCCCTCTCCTTGCTTTCGTAGAACGCAGAGAGCAGTTTACAGCAGAAGGATGAAGCCATCACATCTTTTGAAGGGAAAACCAATCAAGTTATGTCCAGCATGAAACAAATGGAAGAAAGGTAATCACTTCCCCGTGGCAGATATTCCCTACAAGGTGCTGGGCATTCTTTGGGCCTGGAGATTTCCTCAGAGTCTCTCTCAAAAGTACAGACAAGTTGGGATGACTCCTCTTCTTCAGGTCCGTACTCTTGCCCAGCGGGGCTGGATTCAGCAGCCTGGCCTAAGCACATATTCAGTTAATCAACCTTGGCTATTACATCAGATTGTCTTCTCAAAGGGTTGCTTGTCACACTGTCACATTTAAATATCAGGTCAGCATGGATCCGAATAGAGTCCAAAAATAGACCCACACAAATATGGCCAACTCCTTTTTACAGAGGTGCCAAAACAGTTCAGTGGAGAAAGGATGGTCTTTTCAATCAATGACATTGGAGCAGTTGGACATCTGTATGCAAAAAAAAACTACACCTCACAACTTATACATAAATTAACTCAAAATAGATCATTAATGTGGGAATGCAAAATGGTACCACCACTTTGGGAAACAGTTTCTTAAAAAGCTAAACATCCTCTTACCATATGACCTAACAATCCCACTCCTGGATATTTGCCAAAGAGAAATGAAACCTATGTCCACACAAAAAGCAGTAGACAAATATTTATAGCAGCTCTATTCATAATTGCCATAACTAGAAGCAACCCATGTTCTCACTAGGTGAATGGATAAACAAACTGTGGTACATCTATACAATGAAATACAACTCAGGAATAATAAGGAATGAACACACAAAAACTTGGATTGGTCTCAAAGATGTTATTCTGAGAGAAAAAAGCCAGTCTCAAAAGGTTATATAAAGTATAATTGCATTTATATGACACTCATGAAAAGACAAAGCCATAGTGCCATGGAACAGATCCGTGGTTGCCAGGGGTTAGTGGTGGGGAGAGTGTGCGTATACTCAAGCAAGCAAAAGTATGCAGGGGCCGGCCCGGTGGCGCACTGCTACAGTGCGCCGCTTGGGAAGCGCGGCGGCGCTCCCGCCAAGGGTTCGGATCCCACATACAGACTGGCCGCTCACTGGCTGAGCGAGGGGTGGTCGCAACGTAGAGGGTTGCGATCCCGTTGCCGGTCCCGGTCCGGTACGGGCGCGACACTGAGGGTTGCGATCCATTGCCGGTCATGAAAAAAGACAAAAAGGAAAAAAAAAAAAAAGTATGCAAAAATCACACCTTAAACTGAGAAACGGGCTGGCCAGTTAGCTCAGTTGGTTAGAGCGCAACCTTATAGTTGGTCAAGGATTTGGATCCCCGTACCGGCCAGCCACCAAAAAATATATATATATATAAATTGTGAGAAACGATGCTTTCCTTATGAAGCTTTGGCTCATGGGTGCACTTGCTGGTGTTGCCCTCTAGGTTGCAGCACTCTGAAAGTGCAAGGCGGGGAGCTGAAGCGAGGAGCCAGCAGCTGCAGCAGGAGCTGGGCGGGAGGATCAGCGCCCTGCAGCTGCAGCTCTCGCAGCTGCATGAGCAATGGTAGGTGCAGGTGCAAGTGAGGCTGGGAAGGTCTGGGAAGGCTGGCTTCCAGTTTTTCTTCTCCTGGACAGAAAGAATTAGCGGCAGGTAGCATCCTTCCTCAGAGTTTACCCCTGCAAGGCCAGTGTTAGGATGAGAGCATATATGCCAAGTTAAAAACCCAATGCTGCAAGAAGAGCTGTCTTTATTCACAAATGAGAAAGCAGGCACCCCCAGGACTACTCAGCTGGCAAGAGGGAGGAGACTCACTCCTGACCTTTGGTAACTTTCTTCCCTCCTCCTCCCTCCAATATCCTCCATTGTCGTCTGGCTGTGGGTTGTCAAAAGTGGAATAAATTTTGAAGTTTCTTTCCCCTCAGGTCTCCATCTCAGTAGAGGATTGTCCTTTTGTGGCCCTAACTGTTTTAGAGCACTTTTCCTCTCTCTCCATTTGCACAACTGCCAAGTGTGTACCTACGCCTGCTTTTCTCTCACTTGTTCTGGCCTTATGGAGGTGCAGGTGGCCCTGGGGAAGAAGGAGGGCATTTTAATGCCTTGTTGAAGAGTTTAGATGCACCAGTGGTAATTCAGTTGGTTCCACATTTCCTGCAGTGAATTGGGTTGTGGGTCTTCCGTGAAAATCTCCCATTGAGACTAACTCCAGTTCGTTTGGGGAAAACAGCTCAAGTCTAGAGAAAGAATTGAAATCAGAAAAAGAGCAAAGACAAGCTCTTCAGCGAGAATTACAGCATGAGAAAGACACCTCCTCTCTACTCCGAACAGAGCTACAACAAGTAGAAGGATTGAAAAAGGTAAGGTTGGCTATCCTTGGGAGAAAAAGAGCCTCTAGCAGACTCCAGAAATCCCTTCTGTGGAGCCTTGCCTACAGGCTCCTCTCCCTGGGCCATTTATGGGAGAGCCAGGCCCCTCCAGGATTTGGGAATGCTGTGCCCACCCCTGTAGAGCTTCTGCTCTAGGAGAAGGCAAAGACAAATTGTAAGCCTCTAAGCCAACCAGATATAAACTTACATAGCAAAGTGCTATGAAGAGAGTAAAACCGAAGAATGTCCTCATGGAGGGGGCTGGGGGGTGGCACAGCACATGAGCAGAGGTTTGAATGATGAACCAGAGACAGCCATGCAGAGATGTGGGCAAAGCATGCATGAGACAGAGACACCAGGGAGGAGGGCTGGTCTTAGGGAGCAGACAGCAGGGCAGCATGACAGAAGTGCAGTGAGCAGAGGAAGGTAGACTTGGGCCAGCAAGGAGCCCTTCATGGGCCCTGTAAGCTGTGGGAAAGAATTTGGATTTTATTCTGAGCACCATAGGAAGCTGTTGGAGGGACGTGACCCATTTCATGTTAAGACAATCACTGCTACTGTGTGGAGAGTGGATGGTAGGCTGGCAAGAAAGGAAACTGGCAATAACCAGTAAACATTTTCAAACAAATGCTGGTCCACAACTTTACCCCAGAGGTTGCTCGGCCACTATGCCCAGGGTCAGGGCATCCCTGGGAAGCAGACTGAACCAGAGCCCTAAGTCAGCCCTAAAGTAGACCTGAACCCTGGATTTCCCCCTGGAGTCACCTTGGTCCTCTGGAGGTCCACCTCCCTTGAAGACATGGCCAGGATTACGTTGTCTTCAGAGAGCAAGAGAACTGGAGATTCCAGTGTGGCAACATCATCTGTAGAACTGGACCTCCAGGAAACTCCAAGGCACTCTAAAATTTTCCCTTAATATAAAATCATCAGCCACCTTCCCAGATGCGGAGAGGGCCCTGCAATTCTGGACAGAGCTGATTGCAGCCTGAGGTGCTGCGGGGGGCATCACTGACTTCTTCAGCTTCTGCCTTGTTGGGGATAAGGCACCCTGGGCTCCAGGACTGCTGACCACTCCAGCATGACTGAGCCAAAAGCAGCTTCCCTCATCACACTTTCAGGGGATGAGGGTCCTCTGGGGCTGGGGCACTTTCTGGATCTGGATTTTGTTGTATTGAACAATGTAATGGGTACAGCTGAGTGATTTGAATGAGCCAAGAAGAGCTCTCTTGATTTCTGTTGGAAAATTCCTAGAATTGTTAGGAAAGGGAGAGGCTCCTCAAGAGCCAGGTCAGGCTTAGAGAGGGGAAGGGAGCAAATGAAGGGAAAAAGAGGACTTTTTAAAAGTTCTGCTGTATCATGGGGATACCCCCTTATTCCACTTCAAAATACTTCAATCTAAGATTTGAATTACATCCTTCACCCAACAAAACGAACAATGTGTCTGATACTAGCAGTGAGCCACAGGATGCCTCTGGCGCGCCTGCGCACTAACAGGCTCCGATCAGAAGGTGCACCGGTGGAGAGTGTGGGGGAGCTTCCGCAGCTCGGTCCAAGCCCCGCTGTTGCTCTCCATTGGCCCGGAAACCCCGAGTGACTTTCTGGGTCTCCATCCTGGCCATGCTGGCCTCATGATAAATGGTCATCAATGTTGTCGGCCCCTACTGAGCTTCCCTCTCTGCATGGCGCCTCACTTGGTCTCATGAGCCTCCAGAAGGTCTTGCCACCCTCAGGCCACAAATGAGGGCCCAGGTCTTGGCCTTCATCATTCTTGAACAGCCCTTTCCAGAAAAAAAAGATTTTTTAGCGTTGAACAAAAAAGCCACCTTTCAAACTACCCTCCAGCAATGCAAGCTTTATATGGTTTTGTGTAAGGATCATCTGTATATGTTTTGAAATAGTTGTCTGTTTTTTTAAACAAAACCTATCTTTTAATAGAAGCTCAGATAGACAAAGCCTTATTTGCCATTAGGATAACTGCTTTTAATGTGCCTGATGAATGTAGCTGTTCCCTGTCCCATGTCACTGTCCCAGCTACAGAGCTGCTCCTGTAGCACTGCCTTCCAGCAGCCCATTCTTGAAAAGTAAGCTAGCAAGAAGTAACCCATGAAAGAACCCTGTCTTGAATGATGTTAGTAAAACACTGCTTTTTGCTCTTGAAAGACATTTTGATCTGTTTATTACTCTGTTTATTAAATATTTTTTTAAAAGGGAGGGGACTTAGGATTCTTTATCAAGTGTCTGGTTGTTTCATTTTAGGAGCTGCGGGAGCTCCAGGATGAGAAGGCAGAGTTACAGAAGGTGTGTGACGAGCAGGAACAAGCCCTCCAGGAAATGGGACTGCACCTCAGCCAGTAAGAACCCGGCTCCCCTCATCTGCCACCTACGTGCAGGGCTGGAGGCTGGACTCACTCACAGGCTCGTTATAGCCTCCTCCCCATAGAGAACATCACACTAGGCTGCCCACCTCATCACTCCAACCCCAAACCTATCTCTTGATGTTAGGACGAGGGAGAACTGCCAGCTGTTCAAGGTGACCTCCCAGAAAGTCAGGCCTCATGGGGGCCCAGCACTGATTTCTGCCAACCAAATGGGATATCAATCAGATGCTAGTTAATAAATTCATTGAGAATCTTTCTTTTTTTTTTTAAATCTGGACATATACCTTTTTCTTTTTCTTTTTAATTTTTTTTAATACTTTTCTTTTGGTGGCTGGCTGGTAGAGGGATTGAACCCTAGACCTTGTTATCAGCACCGTGCTCTAACCAACTGAGCTAACCAGCCAGCCCCAAGAATCTTCTTTTGTAGTGACCAGAACGCCCACATTCACTAACTTAACATCTAGGTTGTAAGAAAACAGAGCAGTGATGAGACAGCTGCTTGGTCAGTTTGAAGTCAGGCCAGAAGGAGTGTGATGGTTTGAGAACTGAAGCCTGCCATGGTACAAGCTCATTCACCAGCCCCGTGCAGCACAGCCCATCTGCCTCTCTGGGAACTGGACCCTCGCATCCACCAGAGTCTGTCTCTGCTGGCTGGAGCTGATGGAGCACAGGCTCTGCTGGTTCTGCTCCCCTTGGACTTTATAGCTCCCCTCCGCCATAGCCCGGTCCAGACAGGCTGCTCTGGACACCTGGCCCTAGGAGTAGGTCACACTGCAGATTGTAGCGCCTGTCCATTTGTATGATTACTGCATTTTTACACACAGTGGGTGGGTAGCTTTTTCTCCTTATTAGTCAGGGATTCTTTTGGTTGCAAGTGACAGAAACCCTACTCACACTGGCTTAAGCAAAAGAAGCCATCAGGAATCAGTCTCTACCTCCCATCTCTGCTGTCCTGTTCACTTCACAGGTGGGTCTGACCCCCACAGGGGGGAAGACGACACCCAGCAGGGCTGACCATCAGAAGAATGAAAGTTGCTCTTTCTGTGTGGCTCCCACAGAGACCTGAGGTTGAATCACGTCTCCCCCGACCCCCAGTCCTATACCAGTGCCTGACACTAGCACCATGACTAGAGATGGGGGCCCTTATGACCGATACAGCCTGGCTCAGACCCAGCACTGAATACTTGTGACAAGAACAGGTCCAGAGCTGGCTGGTCAGCTCGGTTAGAGCACAGTGGGTTTTTTGTTTTGTTTCGTTTTGTTTGTTTTGGTGGCTGGCCGGTAAGGGGATCCAAACCCATGACTTTGGTGTTACCAGGACCACACTCTTCCAAGTGAACTAACTTGCTAGCCCCAGAGTACAGTGTTATAACACCATGGTCAAGGACTCGGATCCCTGTATCAGCCAGCCACCAAAAAAACCAAAAAGGTCCACAGATGGGGACCAAAATGCAAATAAGCTAGAAACACTCACACTAAAGTAGTATGTAGACGTGTGCAACCTTAGGATAGTTTCTCTCTTGGGCCGGCCCGTGGCTCACTCGGGAGAGTGCGGTGCTGATAACACCAAGGCCACGGGTTCGGATCCCATATAGGGATGGCCGGTTTGCTCACTGGCTGAGTGTGGTGCTGACAACACCAAGTCAAGGGTTAAGATCCCCTTACTGGTCATCTTTTTTAAAAAGAAAATTTAAAAAAAAAAAAGATAGTTTCTCTCAGTCTGGAAGTTGGAAAATCTTGGAGTCTGGTGGGAATGTAGTCTCCTCATATCATTCAAAACCAACTCAGGGCTGCTGCCCAGTCCCCTCCTGCCCTGAGCTCTGCCTGCTTCCCTCTCAGGCTGAGTGCCTGTGCTGCTCTCTTCTGGCTAGGTACTTACCATGCTCTGACCCCTGCCCCCACCCTGAGCAGGGGCAAGGCCAGGTGTCTGTCCCCATGCTCAGCGCACAGACCAGCTCTGTGGGCATCCCAGGAGCACTCACAAGACCAGACATGGAGCCAGAGGCTGGCATGGAGCTGGCTTGGGTTTGCAGCCAGTGGTGTTCAGCACCGTTTTTTCTCCTGCCTGTCTTTTGCACATTGATGGACAGTGAGGCAAAGTCAGAGGTCACCCTCCTAGTGGACCACAGACCTCAAAAACGTGGATGGTCTCTGATCTCGAAAATGTACCATTTCACTTTGTGGCTTCCCAGTACTACTGCCTGATCTAGCTTCAGAATCCCAGCTTGAGCCTCTCAATCACCGTGTCCCTCACAGTCGAGTTGTGCGGGTGTCACAATGTCAGGCATCTGCAACCCTGCCAGGATTGCCCAAGGAGCTGCCTTTGTGCCTTCTCCCATTTTCCCTTAGTCCTCTTGCAAGCCCGTACCAGAGGACAGAGAAGGAAAAGGCTGTTTTCAGACACCTCTACCAGCCATAGAAGCAGTTTCCCAGTTGCTTTACCTTGGGAACATCTGGGTTTTCCCCCCAAGTTGTGTTTCCCAGAGAAGTTCTTGTTATGTTCAGGCTGCCATCCTGACCTGGTTTCCTAAGGTCTGTCCATCTGGGCAGCCTCTAATCCTGTCAGTCTGCTGGCCTATTTCTGCAGCCGGACAGGGGAGCGAAGGAACTGCCTGCTGATCATTAGTAAAGGCCATAGAGGGGGCTGGCTGCTTCCCCCATGTGGGTGGAGCATGGTGCTGATAACACCAACGTCCAAGGTTTGATCCTGTACCTCCTAGCCACCAAAAAAATGGTAAAGACCATAGGGTTTTTTCTAAATGCCCTGATGCTCAGTTTTTTGTTTTTGTTTTGGCAAGGGCAATGTGGCCAGCTGGTACAGGATCAAACCCTGAACTTAAGTGTTATCAGCACCACACTCTAACCAACTGAGCTAACCGGCCAGCCCTCTGATGCTGGTGTTTTCTTTTTTTTTTTTTTTTTTTTCCTTTTTTTTTTTTCTTTTTTCGTGTCCGGCAATGGATCGCAACCCTCAGTGTCGCGCCTGTACCGGACCAGGACCGGCAACGGGATCGCAACCCTCGGTGTTGCTCCCACACCTCGCTCAGCCAGTGAGCGGGAACCGGTCTGTATGTGGGATCCGAACCCTCAGCGGGAGCGCCACCGCACTTCCCAAGCAGCGCACTGTAGCAGTGCGCCACCGGGCTGGCCCTGTTTTCTAATACCTCCCTTAAAAGTCTAGCCTGTGTCTCCCAGAGACTTGCCATTTTGACCCTTAGATTAGTCTAATCTAATGACATTTAGACTAATCTCACCTTTTAAGAAAGGCTCAGACTGTTCCCTCCAAATTGCAAATAGTGTTTCATTTTATTTGGCTTAATTCTGCCAATTAAAACCGTGTTCAGTCCTGTCTCTTATGTGGACAACAAAAGAATTGTTCTTGCACTAACAAGAATGGAGCAAGAAAAAAACGACCGAAGCCTCTGAGCCTGCCCCTTCTAAATTGAGCAGGCAGCAGGAATGCAGGCCAGGGAGAAGCCTGCAGATTCAGGCTCCTGCTGGGGAGAACAGTGGAAACTAGAGCAGAGCAGGGAGCCCCTGCCCCACTGCAAGTATGTGTGACATGCAGGAATGGTTGCCCAGAGAAGCCAGAAACCTGGGCTTCTATGAGATCATTCTTAATTGGTAAATGATTGCAACCATTTCAGAATCTTTTTATACCCTTTCAGGCTAAACATTCTCTTCTTTGGCCAGATTCAGTCCTCAGGATCCACCCCAGACCTCAGCAGACATGTGAGCCAGTGTGAAGAGGTGACTCTGGGATTATAAAAAGATAGAAAGCATTTTAGAACATCTCATGTTTTGGTTCTCACAAGTTTGATTATCCTGAGAAAGGCAAACGGACAGTGGAGTTGGCTTTGTTAGAGTTTTAGAGCCTGTCACTGCTATCAAATGGTCTTTTTTTTTTTTTTAGGTCCAAGCTGAAGATGGAAGACATAAAAGAAGTAAATAAGGCACTGAAGGTATTGGATTATTGTTATTAGCATAAGAATCACTCCTCATCACTGTTAGCTTGTACTAATAGCCTGTGTGTGCTTATGTTTTCTCACAATAGTCAGGTGAGAATGTAGGGTTGAGGCAGTAGTGGTTATGACGTTTTTACAGATAAGAAAAACAATGCTGAGAAACATGTCACTTGGCTGAGATGGCAAAGCTGAAACCTAGGTCTTCTGATGCACGTTCCTCTGCCTTCAGTTGGAGTTTGAAAATAGGCCTAAAGAAGGAAGCTAAAGGTGACAGAGGTCTAGGGAATTTTTTTTAATATTGAAAGTGAGACTTTCCTGTCCAAGTGAGGGGCCAGATATCAGCCAGGTCCACTGCAGTGCTCTGTGCCATTTCTGAGGACCACTCAAGCCAAGCCCTGAGTTGGGCCAAACTTTTGGAGCATTTTGGAGAGGATAGAATGACACATTCTATGTAAGAGCAGGAGCATGCATGTGACCCAGTACAGGCGCCAGGCTGGCCTGCTGGGTTGGGAGGAGGGAGAGGAGGCAGAAGCTCCCAGCCACCGCCCCCCTTCCAGGGCAGGTTGCTCTGCAGCCTGGCCTCTAGTGTAGACCATTCAAAGGCAGATGCCCACCTGTTTGCAGGAGCTTCTACCTTTTGGTTTCAGCTCTGCTGCAGCAGCAGCGCAAAAGTAGTCCTCTTTCACATGGCACCTCTACGTGTATTCCAGAGCAGACTCTAATGTCTCTGGGTACCTAACTTCCCAAGTACACAGCTGGTCAGAGGCAGCAACTTGTCACAGCAGCTAACAGCAGCCTAGACTGCTAGGTAACATCAATTTAATTTATCCTCCCTTGTAGATTGAAAGCCCCTTGAATGTGATTGCTGCAAGCTGCCTGTCTTTATCCCCCCCACTGCATAGAAGTGTTTGCACAAAACAATGACAGCTAACAGCATCCGAGGGAGGATAAAAATCATCAAATGGGACTCTATAGCCGCTTGGAGCTCTTTGATGTAAGGATAAACACCCTGGGCATGCTTCTCTAGCTCACAGCCTTGAGGGTCACTGTGTGTCATCCAGAAAGTTTACGTTCAGCAGATACTAAGGGTCTGAAAAAGTACAGCCTGCTTTTGAACCCTCTAGAACACCCCAGTCCCTAAGGCTAAATAAATCATGTCCTAGTTTTCCAGAGAAAAACCTCCAAAAGATCATCCTCCAAATCCTCAGTAGAATAGAGGTAAACGGCTTTCCAGATTATCCCTGATGTCTAAGAGTCGGGGGTTTGGCCTGTGTAGAGAAGGGCTCCCTCAGGCCTAAAAGGATCCAGTCCCTGCTTCACATTGCCTTTGGTCTCTCCACAGGGATGAGTCTTGCTTGGTTTTAGCCTTTCTTCTTCCTGTCAGTTTAGCTAGTCACTTCCGATAGCCTCAGTCAGGGTTTGGGGTTGCAAGCACCAGAATCTGACTCTGATTACTTCAGCCAAAGGGAATTTACTGAAAGAGTGAGTCTCAGGTTAACAGGGTGCTGGAGAATCTGCTTTGAGGCCCAGTGGGCAGCCTGCAGAGGCTACGAAGCAGGTGGCAGGTGCTCTAACTAGAACACATGAATTCCAGCTGTGGGCAGGTTGAGGGGAAAGGCTTGTTCATTACCGTCCTGTGTGGCCACATCTAGTGGAGAAATAGCAATTCCTCAAAAGGAAACCAGGTGCTATTAGGAAGGGACAATGGATGCAGCCAGAACCCAACTAATTACCCATCAGGGGTTGACACATAAGTGCAATTTTAGGAGGGTTGGCTGGTTATCTCAGAGTTTGGTGCTGTAACACCAGGGTCCAGGGTTCCATCCTGCACTGACCAGCCGCCAAAAAACAAAAAGAAGAGAATGGAATTCTAGGGTGTTCTTTCCTCCTCAGGGCCACACTTGGCTGAAAGATGATGAAGCAACGCACTGTAAGCAGTGTGAAAAGGAATTCTCCATTTCCCGGAGAAAGGTATGTGGGGGTGGCCCTCCACCCACCCAGTGCTTTGAGCCGTTGCCCCACTGGGATTCCGTTCTCTGGCTCTGAGGAAAACCCCTTGTCAGACCAGGTTCGTTGCATTGTGATGGTGCTCGCTGGTCTGCAGATTGGCAGCCCCACCTCTCCTGCCTGCCCATGCAGATGGATTTTTCATCTGTAGCGCAGTCCTTTCGATGATTGGCAACAATTTGAGATGGGGCTGCTTGTGCAGAGCTGCTCTAGGTGAGTGTAACATTGAAAATTCTGTATATGCAAGAGGACCAAAATCTGGCCAACTTAGGCAAAAACAAAATCTATAGGGAACCTATGAAAACAGCAGGTGACTAAAAACTCACTGGTGATCTGGGCAGGGCACTTGCCCCCAGGTGAATCTGCCTCTGCCTGTGTAGCCTGCTTTTAGGTTCTGGACCAGAAAGCCGTGGATCGACCCTTTGGTCCAGGGTTGACAGGGCCAACAGTCTCACTAAGAGGGGCTGGGTAGGGAACACAAGCAAAACTAAAACTAGAGGGCCGAGCCCATGGCGCACTCGGGGGAGTGCGGTGCTGGGAGCGCTGCAGCGCTCCCGCCGCGGGTTCGGATCCTATATAGGGATGACCTGTGCGCTCACTGGCTGAGCCCGGTGCAGCCGGTCTCAAAAAGGACAAAAAAAAAAAACAAAACTAAAACTAGAAAAACAAACTAAAACTGGGAGGGAAGCAAAACTAAAGGCCAGGGGAAAGGAACTGCTAGCAACAGCACCCCGTCCACCACACCATGTGGATCATGTTCTCGTCTGCTCCCAGGAAACCAAAATTCTCCCAGATTCTTGTTAGTGCACTGCAACAGTTCAGAGGTAGAGACCCACCCTCCTGAGACTGCCATTGAGATCACATTTGTCTGCAAGGCCTGCTGAAGGTTTAGGCAGCACAGGCCTGGCTGTCCCCACGTGAATGGACTAGCCTAATGAGGGTGGGCCAGCTGGCAGTCTGTAGAACCAAGAGCAGAGGTTACATGGGTCTTGGTGTCTGCCATGTGCCCAAGGGAAGCCAACACATACAAGGTTCATGGCAACGCCATTTATAAAGTGAAAGAGCCCTCCTCAGAAGGCACCAGCTAAAACAATCTTGGGCTGGCCAGTCAGCTCACTGGGTTAGAGCCCAGTGCTGATAACACAAAGTCCAGGTGTTTGCATCCCCATACCAGCCAGCTGCCCAAAAAAAAGAAAATCCCTGGGCCACCACAATGGAATGCAGCAATTAAAGTAATTAACCAGATTAACCAAATGAAACAGATACTTTATGTAATAGGAATTATCAGCTCAGAGTTGTAGAGTAAAACACCTTTTGTTGTAAACAAAAAAGCCCCTTACTCAGGTCAAGTGCACACCTCTCCCCCAACACTCCACATTTTACAAACACAAAAAAGGAACCCATTCCAAACTGATAAATAATGTGCCCCTGGGAGGATGTGTATTAAGCAGGCTCCTAAAGGTTAGGAAAAAAGAGTGAGCCCCGTAACTGCCTTTTTCCATCCTCTAGCACCACTGCCGAAACTGTGGCCACATCTTCTGCAACACCTGCTCCAGCAATGAACTGGCCCTGCCCTCCTACCCCAAGCCCGTGCGTGTGTGCGACAGCTGCCACACTCTGCTCCTGCAGCGCTGTTCCTCCACTGCCTCTTGAGGCCTGCAGGGGCAGCAGCCTGACCTGTCCTCAGGGTAGTGGCCAGCCTCGGGAACAGTGCCAAACTCTTCCAAGGAAAGGGTCAAATCCCTGCCTGGGCTGCTGGCACTGTAGCATGCCAGAACTGGAACCTGTGCACCTTTCTGTGACGTGTATGGAATTAACTCCTCTGTATTAAAACTCTTCCATCTTACTTTGTTACTTAACTGGCTTTAGTTCTGATGTAACTTCATGGTTTTGCTACTGTCATTTTTCACTTTTCAAATAATTAACCTGTTTAACAGCAGTTGTACTAGTAAGTAATCCGTTTTTCTCTCTCACATCCCACAAACTTTGATTTGTACACAGTGCTTTTTACCATGTAAGGGGTCTGTCAGTGTGCCTTCTCAGCTTTAGTCAAGAGATTTGCCATTTCATGCCCTTGTGAATACCTACCATTGGCCCTGCAAAATAAAAGCGTTTATTTTTCACTCCGGTGCATGCAGAAAATGAACTTGTGTCAACTTCACAGGAGCCTGCCAAGCCCTTGCCTCCAGCTGATCTTGTAGGTCTCACAGCAACCCCTCATGCAGTCATCAGGACTACTAAAGGCCTGGAGAAGGGGAGCTAGAATTGAGGTGTAGGCTGTTGAGGGATGGCTCAGGCTGTGCTCTGCCCGGGTGAACCAGGGACAAGTTGGAGGGTTAGCCTACCTACCATCAATAGGCACAGAGAAAGTGACTTTAAGCCTGTTACCAAAGCTCGAAAGTTGTTCACTTGTGTAACTAGGAGTTGACAGATTATGAATGGAGACACCTGTCAAAAATGCATCTGCCAGGCAGTCTTTTTTTTATTTCAAAAGGAGTGCTAAAGACTGGCTCTTCAGGCCGGCCCGGTGGCGCACTGCTACAGTGCGCTGCTTGGGAAGCGCGGCAGCACTCCCGCCGAGGGTTCAGATCCCACATACAGACCGGTTCCCGCTCACTGGCTGAGCGAGGTGCAGGGAGCAACACCGAGGGTTGCGATCCCGTTGCCGGTCCCGGGCCAGTACAGGCACGACACTGAGGGTTGCAATCCGTTGCCGGTCATGAAAAAAGACAAAAAGGAATCTTACAGGGAAAGAATTTTCTCTGCATTTTTATAGTCTTAGTGACTGAGAGCTGAGACTCTAGAGCCCAGGGTACCTAGATTTGGATCCCAGCCCCACCATTTACTTGTGTAATTTGGGGCAAGTTTCTTCACCTCACCACATCTCAGTTTCCTCGTGTACAATGTAGATTATAGTAACAGTACCTACCTGGCTCTTCCTCCTCTGGAGCCCCACCTGAGTGCATGTCCACCCTCCATAGTCAATGACCTGGAACTTTAAGGTAGGAAAAAAACATAACAAGCATTGTAATGTCCAGACATCAGACAAGTCAGTCTGTCTTCTGAACCTCATCCTTTTCTACTCTCTAGAATGACACCTTGCTCATGACCCCTACCCACCAATTTCCCCTGGCCTGGTGCTAGCTGTCCCATCCGTGCCCCAACAAGACTCAAGATCCTAACTCTCCTTCCTTCTTGGGCTTTCTCCCTACAGAAGTGCTAATCTACAACCTGGGCCAGTACTGGTTGACACTTCTATTGTACTTGCAACTGAAACTAGAATGCCAAGTCTGTTGTTCCATTAAGGCTGGGTCCCAAGATCTATGCATGGTCCTATGGTAAGGAACTGTGCAGCCAGGCTTCAAAACTAGGTCTATCCAGCTCCAAAGACATGTTCTAAGCTTCAGGTTTTAAACCCTATTAGGGAAGCACACAGCAAGGACAGAAGCTATGAAGGGCCCCCTCTCCCTCACTTTACCTGAGCAGCTGCTTGTTAATCTCATACAGAGACCAACTTTTTCAGAAAAAAGTTTACATAGCACTGCTCTATACCCACACCCTTCTAGTATTGGATATCTGTACCTTGTTTTCAATGCACCCAATTTGGACTCCAACTTGCTGAGATTAGGCAAGTCACTCATTTCCAAGCCTTGGCTCTCATCTGCACACACAAAAAAGGAAGCAGAATAATACCAACACGACTTCAAGACTGCTATGATGGTTCAATAAAAATAAACATGAAGTTCTCACCACTGCCTGACAAGTGCTCAGGGAGGTTTCTTTCCTTTATCGTACCCATTTTTTCCTCCCAACATCACCTCCACACTGAAGCAAGAAATGCTCAATAAGCATTATGCACTACATATCCAGGTATCAGTCTTACCAACATTTAGCTGCCTTAGTGGTCGATAACTTTTCTACTCAGAATTCAAATATACACCTGAACTTTGGAACCCTCAGTCGCCAGTCTGGCACCATACCACCTCACAACCTGAGAAATAAGGGGGACAGAGGTTCTAAGGTAGTGGTTCTCAAGCTCAAATGCATGGGCCAAATGGGTTGGGGGTGGAGGTCCAGGGTCTGGTTTAAAATGCAGATTCTCATTAACAGCCTCTGGAGGTTGAGTCATTGCTAATAAGCTCCCAGGTGACGCTGTGGTCCATGGAGCACAAGGTTCCAAACGTAATGGTTCTAGTCTTTTTTTTCCTGGCAGCTGGCTGGTACAAGGATCCAAACCCCTGACCTTGGTGTTATAACATTGTTGCTCTTGATTTTTTAAAAGCCAAATGGTTCTGCATTAGCTTACTTAGCCTTACTACTTCAAGTACCTAAGAGTTCTAGCCTCTTCTAACAAGCCAAGTTTTTCAACAAAGCTTTTCCTTATTCCTAAGTGTCTAACAGTTAACTGAAGGACCCAGAGAAGGAATCCTCAAGCCTTCTCAACACCAGGTCTCAATTCCAAATTGAGTAACTCACCAAGCTCTCAGGAGCAGTACCTGGTTTAGAACACAGCTGAACAACTCTCAACACTGCCTCCCCCGAAAACTGTTTATCTCTAGATCTGCTTAAGACCAAATACATACGTTCCAGATCTTTCCCACCACTGGTGTGGAATTGCACCCAGCCCCCTGGTAGGGCATGCACAAGGCAGGATCTTCACAGCCCTCCATGTATGTCTTCTATATGCAATGCTGCCATTAACAGATCATTAGAAGTGGCCAATTCTTAGCAAGTTTCCAGTCTGTCCACCATAGTAACCTTACCCAGAACAATGGAGAAAACCTAATACAGCCACAGGAAGTTAGAAGATGTACACACTTGGTTTTCAATGGTATAAGCCTACATTATCCTAGCTTGAATCCTATATTTTAATCTCGATCACTGACTTGGGTCTAGAGTAACAGTTCCCAAACTGTACTTCCCCTTAAACATCTGCTGAAAGGAATTTCTGGGACTATGTCTTTAAGTACAACTTGTGTATAGAGAATATTTCCTAGCAAATATCGTTTGAGTTCCAATCTACCAAAACAGGAATATATTTCAATAACTGATTTAAACCACTCATGTTAGCTCTCAAAACTACTTGGTATTTTGCCTCAGGAGGTTTACAGGGGAACAGAATCTTGTTCGAGTGGACTTAATTTTTAGGGATGAGATAAAAGTAAAAAGCTCAAAACCTCAATTGAAAACTGAGCCAGGTCCTTCTAGCAGATACCCCATACATACAAAACTCAAAGAAATGCAATCAAACAGGGGAGGGAAGCTTCCGGTTACCCCTTGCCTCTGATGCTTCCCTCAGCCATGCCTGAAGGTCCCGGAGACATGCAGGCCATGCAGTGAGGGTGCTGGCACCTGTCCTTCGCTTTGTGCAGGTGCTTATCAAGTTAAATGCAGCTCAAATCAGGTCCTGTGCAGCCAGGCCACATGACATACAGCCCTTCCACAAGGGCCCCAAAGCCAAGTTTACCTTCAGTTGCACTGGAGGGAAGAGAAGTCTGAAGACAGCTACACAACAGCCTCAACTGACGAGCCTCTGCCATAGCCAGAGATGTGGACCTACGCCCCAGGCAGGAATAGAGCACCAAGAAACAGTCCACATGACACTGAAGCATAGACAAGACAAAGTGCAGTTTTTAAAAGGAAGATTTATTTGACAAGTTTCACTTAGCGCAATACACCTAAAAAGAAAACACAATACAATGAAAGATTTAAACCAAGGCCTCAGAATTTCATACAAACACCAAGACCAAAGTCCTAAAGTACTGGTATTGCGTCTCAAATTTTCCCCATTAACTTAAAAAAAAGCTTAAATTTACGTGCCTTACAGGTTATTAAATGAAACTACAGTTAACAAACATGCCAAATGTTTCACTTTTAATTGTAGACACAGCTCCTATATTGAGTTTTACAAAAAAGCATGTCTTTCAACATGCATCCAAACAGTGTTCAATGTAATATGGTATAAGAGCAACATTTAACATAATTCAACTGCTTTAACCTAAACACACTTACTGCTTAAGTACGTCCTACAATATAACTAACTTGAGAAAAGCTGAAAATTGTTTAACAGTTATAGTTTCAACTTCGTTGTTATATCCTAGATGAGTTGTGTTCAAAAATACTGAACCTTAAGTCTAAAACAATCCTGATTTTTCACTTATAAGTAAGCATAAATCACAAGCTTGTATTGCAAAAACTGTTAAACTGAAGTTTTTTCTTTAAAAAAAAAAGTTGACCAAGAGTCAGTGATCAGGATCAATTACATTCCCCATCCACCACTCATACTGGACATGCTAGACATCCCTCCCATTCCGTTCACGCCCATAGATGCACGGCTTCCACTACTGTAGTAGCTGCTGTTCACTGCTCCTTGGTTACCTGCAAAGAGATCAATGTGACAAGTTAGGAGTAGTATCAAATTATCAGTCAAATAAAATATAGCATTCCAAGAAAAAGTTTAAAAAGTATACGAGTATAAATGGCTGCTGTCCAAGTGGCGAGAAGCATGTTTGGGAAAGGGGAATCCCGACTCCAAACAAGTCTCAATTAACCTCTTTTCTCTGCAGTACCAACTTGCCAGACTCTTGTGCTACCATTTAAATGGATTCTTCAGGATCAACATAGAAAATTAAGTTTAAAGGAAAACTAGTGTTTTTCAAAAATTGCAAAATTACTTCATGTTTTTAAAGCTAAACAAGGCATTTTTTTAAAAAATTTACTATAAACATTCACAATGTGTCCATCGAATGGCATATATGAATAGGGAGCACAAGGGAAGTCTCTTGCTTTTCCTATTCATGGTGGGCAGAAAGTGAGAGGACAAAAGTTGGACTAAAGGCAACTCACTGTGCCCATAATGGCAGCCTCCATGGAGTTAAGTCAGAGCCATTGACTGCTATAGAAATAGTGTTATTACAACATTATCAGTATTTGCTATTGGGAATTTAAATTATATTTTTTGAGAAAATATTTACCTATGCAATGTTTGATTGAAAATCACTGGAGTTTTCCTGTAAAACTTGGTCTGCAAAAGGATTTTTTAGGGTAAGACTATAATACCAAAATCACCATTCTTTAGACCAATTGAAAAAAAAAATTAATAAAACCAATCCTAGGTTAACTA